AGAAATTTGAAGATTTTGTAGCTTTATGTTAGTTGGTTATTTGTGATAAGAACACCAAATAAGTTCACCATATTTGTCTTGACATTCATGTGTACGATGATTGAAATAATTGTTGCAATTTGAACAGATCATTTAAATAAAGGTCATATGTACACAATATGCCTGATTTATTTTAGTGTAAATGCTTTGTCTTGTTTTAAGATGGAAAATCTATTAATCGTTCTTAATTCCAGAAGATCCATCTTGTTAAGTTGGCCTTGTTTTAAGATATTTTCTGTCAAAGTGAGAAAAAATGAAAACTGAAAGAAGCATTAACAGACTAGTATTGAGTTTATTTTACTTCATAAAGTACTTGTAATGAGTTTTTTACAACTTGTTTTAAGACATTTCTCACTTGTCTAAAGCCTAGAAATATTTACTTATTTCAAGAAATCTTACCAAGTGCAATTATCTTACTGCACTGGCAGATTATTTCACTTAATTTGAGATGATTCAGGCTATTATCTAGTATTTTTTTACTTATTTTTAGATGGGTACTTTTTGCAGTGTACAGTTTCCATTTTAAAAATCAATCCTTTCACAGACTCAGTATTTTACATTTGTTCCATCAACTATTGGCCGAATGTCAACAAGTAAAAACATTTAGTGCAAATTTGCTGGTTGTAAATTTACATTTTCTGTAACTTTACAGAACAATTTGTAAGGTGGTCAGAGCTTTATCGCTATGCTCAAAAAACAATTTATGCAACGATGATGGCAAGAAACAACCCTTATGAAGGGGAAATCTGTTTGAACTAGGGTTTTAAAGAATAAAACACATTTTATAAATCTATTACCTTTTTAGAATAAATTATTTTTGTGGCTCTAGCATCAGTGTTTATGCCACATATTGGCACTTGTGAAGCGTTATTGGCTAGTTTCATAAAATGCTCAGTGTTCACACATAGCTGCCATCCCAAGGTGCTAAAATTCAAATCTATTTGGAGTTTCCACTTTTTATATTTAAATAATTTGGAAAAAAAAAAAGGCATTTATTTCCTTTTAAAAACTGGAATATGAGAAAAAAATAGACTTGAAAGTATTTTGTTTCTAGTCTTAAAACCCACAGCACTTTAACACTAGAAGGCACATTCACCCATTTTCACACCCACATTCACAAATCGGGGGCAACCTAAAGTTCAGTTTCTTGCTCGGGGCACACGGGCATGTGGTGAAGGAAGCCAGGATTGAACCAACAGCTCACACTTTGACGGGAAGATGGCCGCCTTCTGAAGTATATTTACCCCCCCATTTTTATCCATACAGAAGCTTGAAAGTTTGTGAAGCCTTTAGAATTTTCTATATTTCTGCATAAATATGACATAAAACATCATCAGATTTTCACACAGTTCCTAAAAGTAGATAGAGAACTCAGTTCATGAGACTAAAATATTATACTTTGTCGTTTATTTATTGAGGAAAATGATCCAATATCACATATCTGTGAGTGGCAAAAGTATGTGAACCTCTAGGATAAGCAGTTAATTTGAAGGTGAAATTAGAGTCAGGGGTTTTCAGTCAATGGAATGATGATCAGGTGTGAGTGGACACCCTGTTTGATTTAAAGAACAGGATCTACTGTATCAGAGTCTGCTCGTCACAACATATTTGTGGAAGCGGATCATGGCAGGAACAAAGGAGATTTATTCTGAGGAACTCAGAAAAAGTTGTTGATGCTCATCAGGATGGAAAAAAACAAACAAAAAAAACCATATCTAAAGAGTTTGTACTCCACCAACCCACAGTCAGACAGGTTGTGTACAAATGGAGGAAATTCAAGACCATTGTTACTCTCCCCAGGAGTAGTGGACCAACAAAGATCACTCCAAGAGCAAGGAGTGTACTGGTAATAGTCAACAAGGTCACAAAGGACCCCAGAGTAACTTCTAATCAACTGAAGGTCTCTCACACATTGACTAATGTTCATGTTCATGAATCCACCATCAGGAGAACACTGAACAACAATGGTGTGCACGGCAGGGTTGAAGTAGGAAACCACTGCTCTCCAAAAAGAACATGGCTGCTCGTCTGCAGTTTGTTAAAGGTCACATGGACGAGCCAGAAGTCTGTTGGAAGAATGTTTTGTGTATGGATGAGACCAAGTAGAACTTTTTGGTTTAAATGAAAATTGTAATGTTCGAAGAAAGGAAAACACCACATGAAAACCTTATCCCATCTGTGAAACATGGTGGTGGTACTATCATGGTTTGGGCCCGTTTTGCTGCATCTGGGCCAGGACGGCTTGCCATGATCGATGGAACGATGAATTCTGAATGATATCAGAGGATTGTAAAGAAACATGCCAGAATATCTGTCCATGAACTGAACCTCAAGAGAAGGTGGGTCATGCAGCAAGACAATGATCCTAAGCACACAAGATGTTCTACCAAAGGATGGATAAAGAAGAATAAAGTTCATGTTTTGGAATGGCCAAGTCAAAGTCCTGACCTTAATCCAATCCAGATGTTGTGGAAGGAACTGAAGCAGCAGCAGTTAATGTGAGGAAACAACCAACATCCAGAGTTGAATCTGTTCTGTACAGAGGAATGGACTAAAATTCCTCCAAGCTGGTGAGCAGAACTGATCAGCAGTTGCAGTTATTGCTGCACGAGAGGTGGGGGTCACACAGATACTGAAAGCAAAGGTAATATTGAATCATTTTCCACAATAAATAAATGACCAAGTATAATAATTTTGTCTCATTTTTAAAAACTGGGTTCTCTTCATCTACTTTGAGGACATGTGTGAAAATCTGATGATGTTACAGGTCATATTTGTGCAGAAATATGGAAAATCCCAAAGCATTCACAAACTTTCAAGCACCACTGTAACTGAATTAAAAACCTGTACAGTATACTGAAACAGAATTACAAAGTAACCGAAAAGAACATTTTACTTTTTAATATATATATATATATATATATACATATTGGTATATGGGAGGAAAAATAAATGTAACCAGTGACCTGGCCAAAATGAGCTCCCTGGATCAAAAAAGTAAATGTCAGGAAGTTCGGCTGCAAATCCCTGCAGGGACCTCAGAGGAGCAGCTAATGATATCAGAGACTTTGCTGAGGGGATTCAGAGAATATTGGGTTCCACAACGGTGCAATCCATGAGAGAGAGCGAGCGTACAAAACGGCTCTGAATGCAAACACACACACCTAATTAGAAACTCTTCAAAGAGTGAAGCGTGTGGATCTGGAGGGTCATGGTCACACTGAGGACAAAGCTCAACAGGAAGAAAAGAGGAAGGTTTTACCACAAAAACATGGACTTGTCCGAAATGTCAGTTATTTCATTGTAAAGTAAACACAAACAAACAGACCAGTGTTCAGGGTTGAAAAGGGATTATAATTATAGCCACAAAATAATGCGGAGACGGAGTTTCAGCCCAGATAAAATACAATTTACAGTCTGGATTTGTTAACCTCATTTCCTAGTGTGAGGAGAGCATCACAAAGTAAGATTATCCGGAAGGCGAGTTCCTGAGGCTCGAACAGAAACATGCTGAACTCTGGGTTAAATTCACACCTTGGACACTGGAAATCGGTACTGCACGCTTTAACAGCTTTAGATTTTTTTTTTTTCTTTTATAATTCTCGTTGATTAAATAGATCTCAGGACAAAACCACTTACATGTTGCAAACTGGAACCACATCTTTGGTTACAAATAAAGCATCAACCCACCAAAAAGAAAGTACAGTGTGTATAGAAAGTTGTCACCTCCCTCAAAATGGTTCTTCGTTTCATGTTTTATTTACTCGACAGAGTTTGATTCTGGACACTGATCAGCAGAAGATTATATCAAGGCAAAAAGTAACATCAATTATTAGACTTTTATGGTAAAAAAAAAAGAAACCGCAAAAAAAATGTTTTGATGAAATTTAAATTATTGGATTACAAATTAAACCTCTGTATGGGGATTCAACAACTAAATTACATTTTTGGGCTAAATAACAGCTGATAAAAACTGATATAAAAAAACCAAAACAATCAGAGATGAGGTTTAAGAAACATTTCCAAGGCACTGAACAGCATCTTCACAAGCAGTAACGATGCTCCTTTTCAGTAAAATATCTTAAATATAAAAGGTTCCTGCAAACAAACTGCTGATGCAGGAGTTGCAGCAGTTTGTCTGCAGGCAGTTCTTAAAATCAAAGCAACGACGTGCAAGAGTGGCAAAGTCTGAGTGGAGAATAAAAGGAATAATAATAATAATAAAAGATTTACAGCAGCTTGCTTGGCAGCATTTCATACAGGAAGTAAAGTTTAGAAACCAAATGAACTGATCCCAACAGCATTCCTTTAGTTTTCACCTTGATATTAATGAGTTGTTTATTTTTGTATGTTGATCAGTGTCAAAAATAAACCCCATTGCAGCAAAATGCAATAAAACATGAAAAACTTTGTGCAGACTGAATCCTTTTTTTTTGTATTTTGTAGGCATACATGTGTTAAAAGATGAGCTGTGACTGCTGAGGTTAGAAAGCATCAACAAAAAATCTGGAAACGATGAACAAAACCGTGATGGAATGAAGAAGATACAAAATCTTCCAAAGTATCAAGCTAGTACAGAAAAAAATAATAATAACAGCGGGCTATTAAGGATATAATATATATAGATATGTATATATATTACAAAACAATACAACAATAGAAATCCCTGTAAAAAGCAATAAATGTTCACATTAGACGTTGTAGGACATTTTTAACAAACAAAAAAAAGCAATAAGTACATTTTACAAGACTGCAGTGAGATATTGGGACGAGAACGTAGAAGCAGCCGTGAGTCTCTTCATGTGTGAGAAAAATACATGCTGGCCTGTGTTACGATGTGAACAAGTGTTTCATGACTTCATTGTAAGTGGATCGCCTTCATTTCATCCTGGTCTTCTCCAATGCGGTCCAAGATCCCCTCTACAAAATCCCCTCCCCCCCCGGCCTCAGTTTGACTGGGGCGCCGAAATTTCAACGGTGAACAATCTCACTGGGTAAATAGGCAGTAACACTGATATTATAGTGCAAAGTGGACAGAGCTGCTTTTCCTCATGTCAACTTAAACAGGTGCAAACGCTCAGCAGGAGAACATTTAAAGACGAGAAAAAAAAAAAAGAACAAATCAAAATAAAAGGACGAAAACATAAATATCAAAAAACCTTTCATCAGTATAAAAAAGTAATAAGGTTATTCGTTTAATCAATAGTCTGGCAAAAAGGCCTCAAAAGTTCTTGGATTTTTTTTTTTTTTGTTTGTTTGTTTTGTTTTCTTTACAAATTAACTGCCTGCAAGAATGTCTTCAGACGAGCGACTCCATGCTCTCTGCGGGGTCCGACTCGTCGGCGATCACCACCGCCCCGTTAGTGTCCATATGAACGGGACCCAGGATGCTCTCTGTGTGACTCACCAGGCTGAGCATGGCTTTGTAAAGGTACTGGTACTGTTCCTACACAAACACACACCAACACAAAGGTTAAAGGTTAACAGTAACGACAAGAGTTTGTATTCATTCAGTGAGACGTTCTCTGCTGTGGATGAATGCAAATAAGATGAGAACAATTTATTCGTCAAAAGATAAGCTGGACTTTTATTCTGAAAGTCAGTGTCTGAATCTGAGGTGAGGCCCTCCAATCAGTCCTGTCATAACCTCAATTTTTGCTCTCCTGGCTCTTGGATCCCTGGAGTGAGAGCTCTCTCTTCTTCATCGATTGGTGTGGAGAAGAGCAGCAGAGGTCTCTGACCGAGACCCTTGGACCAGTGTCCTGCTTGGATCACTAAGTGGTCTGCAAGGACAGAATCATTCTTCGTCTGTGTCTCAGTGAGCTGCAGCTGCTGGCAGCTAGCTGGGAACGACATTCACGAGGGAGTCTCCCAGAATAACTTGAGCCATTCGGAGTTCTCAGTTCCCTCAGAGTCTCACACGGCCTCATTGCTTCCATTTTTACACATTCAAGAAATTTGTGCTACAAATATTCCCTCTAAATTGTCACAGAGTGACGGAGTAAAATCTAACGTATGGTTTTTAACCAACACCCATTTCTATGAGGCTCAACTTCCAGCCTGCCTCTCATTAACCTGGCAGTCAGGGAGTGAGACACAGGTGTGTGGTTACCAAGGTGAGCGCCACTGGCAACTGCTTTAACATTTCTTTTCATCATGCTTCTCTTTATACTTCCTGTACAGTTCAAACATGAAAATGAAACAGTTTTCTGACCACTTGGGGGCAGCATAACTAGGTTTAAATATACAGAGAGCCTCGTCCTTAAAAAGCAAAGGCATCTGGGAAAATGAAACCACATTTTTATTTAGATGAAGAAAACAGACAAAATGTTTCATTTCAGCCTGACAACTATGAATTTTAAATCGTTCTGCAAGTGTTTTGTCTTGTCAAACACAGTGAAGAGCACAGCTTTTAGTCATCGTGCGTCATCATGCGAGTTGTTTTCTCATTACAAAGTCAACTTACTATATCAGTGAAGACTCCCGGCCTCATGAGATTGATCATCTTGGCCACCTGATAGATGTCGACGAGTCCCTCGTTGTCCAGCTGCTGGGACAGCGTGGTGAGGGCGCAGAGCATCCCGGCTGACACCCCCCCGTACCTGAAACATGTTCACAAGGAGCAGTTGTAAGGGCAAGAAAAGCAAGACGATTGAAAACCTCGTCTGTCAGAACACAATCTAAAAAAAATATAATTAGTGGACATCATGGTCCTTTTTTTAAATTTTATTATGGAATAAAACCTCTGGGAAATTCTAGCAGGTTACAGTCAGACTGCGTGATGAAGACCATTCAGATATTTGACGTTCCCAGTAACAGCAGCTGAGGTGCAGTGGACACTGACGCGTGCAGAAGAGGCATCAGCTGGGAGTCTGGAAGCTGTCGTGGTTGCCTGGTTACCAAAAGACTTTGGTCTTCTTGTTTATTCTGAAGGCGGCCCGTAGACTCTCGGTGCCGGTAGACACTTAAGGACTTTAAAACCCCAAGCCACGGAAAGCACTTAGAATTTAGTGGCTTACTTTTTCATCCTACTTGTGCAAACAGAACAACTGAGGGAAGGTAATTACACACCGCAGAACGATTTTAAGCTCTTATAACTATTTAAATCCAGACTGAGGTGCAAAAACAAAACGGAACAGAAGATCAAACATCACTTTATTAACCAAAACTAGTTTAAGGAAATTTAAACTCAGGACTTTAGATCAGGGGACATATTTTTTACTTAAATTATTGCTCTTGTTTTGGGTGTGTCTGTTACAAAATTATCTCCTGAACTACAGAGCAAACTGCAATGAATCATGCATAAAGCAATCACTAAATCTACATTTGATTCACTTCAAGAGTCAACCTGATTCACAATGGCTGCCATCATCAACGGAGTAAATAAAAAAACTGGATATAAGCTTATCTGTGGTGTGGTAGTAGCTGAGAATGATTCCTATCACACATTCTGAGTGATAACTGCCTGCACAACACTTTTACTTGCCTTTAATTGTTTAGAGTTCACTGTCTGTTGGCAAAATATCTCATGAACCACTGGATGGATTTTAATAAAACTTTCAGGAAATAATCAATTGATGTACATCTACAACTGATTAACATTTGGAGTCAACCCTATTCAAGATGGCTGCCACAGTCAACTGACTTTACAAAACACATATACAACTATAACTCAGTGAATTTGATAGATATTGAGCTAAAATTTACTGTGGTAGTAGCTGAGAGTCATTCACAACACATACTATGAGCGAGACATGTTGCAGTATCAGAAGAGGTCTTGCTTAACGTTACCGTTACCTCAGGGTGAGTGATATGTATTACTTCCAGGAATGCTTGTGCATATTTGAAACGTGTCAGTTCTTAGTGTTTAGAAAACACTGTTTTCTCTTAATTTCATCTAAAATGTTGCTTGTTAACAGTGAGCAAGGAGGTTGTTTGTTAATAATTATTTAAATAAATGAATAGGTTTTTTTTTTTAATTCAATTAAAGAAGCATAAAGTCAGAACTTGTGTTTTGCAAGGAGGCAAACCAACAGAAAAACTGATCAATAAGATTGGGGAGATAAATGTTTCTAAGGGTTAATAGGGGTTTCACACCTCTGAGGAAAGAATAAAAGGATCTTTCACGGTTGCCAATTTTTAATTAATCTAACTGGGAAAAAATAAAATAAAACAGGGTGCTTTACAAGACAACCCATTAAAAACACAATTTAAACCCATAAAGCCAATAATGCTGTACAATAACACACGGAAAGATGTTTTACACGATCAAACAAAACTACCATCTAGTTTATATTCTTCAAAGTATCAATTGTTCTGTGTCGACACTTTAGCAGGTTAAAGAGACTAAACTGAGAAGGATCGACTCCTTTGCAAGGATTTGATCAAAGAAAAAGTTTGAAGGAGCAACTTTGTTTCATTTCAGCTTTAAGCTTCATGTTCAAAAAGCAACATTTCACTTAGCTGAAGTACGTCGGTGGTAAAAAATGACTTTACTAAGTGAAAACTTCGAAACGCTGAAGTGCTACAAATTATTTTTTAGACTAAACGTCAATTCAGAAAAAGAAACAAATACGAGTTAGAAAAACTATTTTTAAGCACCTGTTCTATTGCATTAAAATAAAGCACATTTATGAAGTGTGATTAAAAAAGGATTTCTTTTTGCCAACTCGTTTCTGTTTTATAAGACTAATATTAGGCAAAGCCTTATTTAATAAACAGCCTTTTTGCTCATGAGTAATAAGCTGCAATTAGGAGGTTCTTGAGCAAGTAAGAAGTGCTTTATACAGACAAGGAAATTATGCTGCTACAAACCGGATTCCAAAAAAGGTTGGGACACTAAACAAATTGTGAATAAAAACTGAATGCAATGATGTGGAGATGGCAAATGTCAATATTTCATTCGTAATATAACACAGATGACAGATCAAAAGTTTAATCTGAGTAAATGTAACATTTTAAAGGAAAAATATGTTTATTCAAAATTTCACAGTGTCAACAAATCCCCAAAAAGTTGGGACAAGTAGCAATAAGTGGCTGGAAAAAGGAAATTGAGCACATAACAAACAGCTGGAAGACCAATTAACACTAATTAGGTCAAGTGACAACATGATTGGGTATAAAAAGAGCTTCTCAGAGTGTCAGTGTCTCTCAGAAGCCAAGATGGTAAGAGGATCACCAATTTCACCATTGTTGCGCAGAAAGATAGTGCAGCAATACCAGAATGGTGTTACCCAGCGTAAAATAGCAAAGACTTTTAAGTTATCATCATCAACCGTGCATAACATCATCAAAAGATTCAGAGAATCTGGAACAATCGCTGTGCGTAAGGGTCAAGGCCGTAAAACTCTACTGGATGCTCGTGATCTCCGGGCCCTTAAACGTCACTGCACCTCAAACAGGAATGCCACTGTCAAGGAAATAACAGAATGGGCTCAGGAATACTTCCAGAAAGCATTGTCAGTGAACACAATCCACCGTGCCATCCGCCGTTGCCAGCTGAAACTCTACAGTGCAAAGAGGAAGCCATTTCTAAGCAAGCTCAGACGTTTGCACTGGGCCAGGGGTCATTTAAAATGGAGTGTGGCAAAATGGAAGACTGTTCTGTGGTCAGATGAGCCACGATTTGAAGTTCTTTATGGAACACTGGGACGCCATGTCATCTGGACCAGAGAGGACAAGGATAGCCCAAGTTGTTATCAACGCTCCGTTCAGAAGCCTGCATCACTGATGGTATGGGGTTGCATGAGCGCTTGTGGCATGGGCAGCTTGCATGTCTGGAAAGGCACCATTAATGCAGAGAACCATGTTCAGGTTCTAGAACAACATATGCTCCCATCTAGACGTCATCTCTTTCAGGGAAGACCCTGCATTTTTCAACACGATAATGCCAGACCACATTCTGCAGCAATCACAACATCATGGCTACGTAGGAGAAGGATCCGGGTACTGAAATGGCCAGCCTGCAGTCCAGATCTTTCACCTATAGAGAACATTTGGCGCATCATAAAGAGGAAGGTGCGACAAAGAAGGCCCAAGACGATTGAACAGTTAGAGGCCTGTATTAGACATGAATGGGAGAGCAATCCTATTTCTAAACTTCAGAAACTGGTCTCCTCTGTCCCCAGACGTCTGTTGAGTGTTGTAAGAAGAAGGGGGGATGCCACACAGTGGTAAAAATGGACTTGTCCCAACTTTTTGGGGATTTGTTGATGCCATGAATTTTGGAAACAACAGATTTTTCCTTTAAAATGATAAATTCTCTCAGTTTAAACTTTTGATCTGTGATTTGTGTTCTATTCTGAATAAAATATTAGATGTTGGCACCTCCACATCATTGCATTCGGTTTTTATTCACAATTTGTTTAGTGTCCCAACTTCTTTGAAATCCGGTTTGTAGTTCTTGAATTGTGTTTTGCATTCTGAAGTTTAAAGTAAATTAGTTAAAAAAAACAACCTTCATTATGCTTGACACCGATAAAACAAAAGTAAACATGAACATACTCATCGTGCACGATGGTGGGGCCATCTCGAGTCATGGCTTCTTCTTTGATGACTCTGATGAGCTCGAAGGTGCTGCTGAGAGGAGCGTCAGGGTTCGGCCATTTAGGGCACTGAAAGTGTCTCACCTCCAGGACGTAATCATCCTGTTAAAGCACAAAGGGAGAGTTTACGCCTCAAGGAAATACGATTTTCATGTAAGAACTGTTGTGGAACTCCTCGGGTACCTGTGTGGCCTCTAGGATGAAGTCGTGGATGATGATCTGCTCCTCGTTGGAGAGACACAGCCTGTCCTTACTGATGAGAGTGACTGTGAAGGCGATGCAGTTCATGGCCTCTTCCCGACTCGGCCAGTAAACAAATTCATCCTCAGCCTGCAGAAAAGACACGTGCTGTCTTTGATTTCTCCATGATTAGTGTTCCTTCGAATGATTACAACTTTCTTAATTACTTACAAGACCCTGGTTGTCAGGCAACATGACAATAATCTGAGCGTTGTGGTCCCAAATCATCCTCCAGAAGTCTGTAGTGGTGTGGGGCAAAGGATGCTGGGTAACGATGAACTCATTACTCCTATAGTAGCCCTGGTAAGACAGAGTAGAGCTGTTAGCCTTTCTAAAGGATGACTGTTTCACGCAACTTATTTTCCAAATTGTCATTTCCAAAGGCTCAATGGCTGCAGATAAGCAAACACGACTCATTAATAATCAACACTGTACCATTATGTAGGATGCATTAATGTAATCTGTTCCCTTCATGCCTGGCAGAGTGGTGAGTCCAACCCTCGCTCGCTCCGCTGGTGAGGCACAGATAGAAAAACAAGCTTTAAATCACAACCCAGGCCTCCTTTATATCACACCAGCTGATAATGCACACATTCATTATCAGTCCTCACTGTTGCCATGGCAACAAGTGCCTCCATTTCTCCCGTCAGGGTGCAGAGGACGCACAGAAAGATTAACTTATAGGATTATGGAAATGGATTCTAGATTTAGAATATGAATTGTTTTAATTATTTGCAGACAGAAGGAGAAAAGACGTGAAAATGTGCATGGAGAAATGTTGCGACTATTAGTTCCACCTCGGGTCAAGCGTACAGATACTGTGGTAAATACTCACAAGGAACCACCGAGGAGTTGCGATTCTTTTCCTTGTTGCAGTCTTTGTGCGCGCTGAAGCACTCCACAAAGCGCGTGTTGCACTGACTCAGCAGCTGGAAACAGAGAAGGCAAAAGTATCTCAAAGATGTCCTGAGGTTGAAACTTCCAGTCCAACACGATGAACAAGAGCCAATATTGTTTAGCAACCTGAAATTAACCGCACATCTTTCACGTTGATGACGAGCGCGTGAAGCTGGGAAATAAGTGACATTATGTGAGCAATTATTTTCCCTCTCCTCATGTGGAAAGAGGAGCAGCTTGATGAAACATTCATCAAACTTTACATAGCACAGCGGGGGTGACAGACATTTCTTTATTACAGCTTACATCAAAGACACTTTCAATCTTTATTTTTCTCCCCCTTTGCGTCTGGAAGTGGAAAGCCACCATGGATGTTGCTAACAAGCTCCTGATCCTAACAGTGTTGCAGCATGTTGTGATGGCTCGTCTGCCTGGAAAGTTCAGACTCACTCTGAACTGCTTCTCGAGCCGCGTTCGGCCGGCGTAGCTGGGCGTCAGGATGCTGCTGACGTAGCTGTGCAGCTGCCAGGCGGGCACCTCTGTCTCTCTGCTGAGGATGGCCTCCATCAGGGCATCGTGTATGAAAACATACTGCTCCTGACAGGAAACATGAAGCACGAAGCAGTAGGATTAATAAAAAACAACAGTTAAAGTTACCAAAACCTGACTGTCTTAAACACTGACTTTGAAATGTTTCATTTGTGTATAAATTCCCATTATCAAACACAACGCTAACTGTGTTAGCTTGTCTATGGCGTTTTCAATGTTAAGTTAGCATTTATGATAATTTTGGTCAGCAGCGGAGATTAGGGTATTTGATGAGTTATTGTGCACTTTAATTAGGCAAAGAAATGCACAAATTAGTTTATTCAGGTAAAATTATCCATAATAATTTATGTTGCATCAAAGGGAGGGTTATATAATCAAATCACAGCTCTCAGAATCAAATCAAATCAAAATGTGACATGTTTAAAGGTTTTTGAGTAGTAAACTTTATTAAATATATCATTATGTATGAGCTAAAATGTGAAATCTGATTGATTTTAACTACTATATTCCACTTTTCATAATTAAGCTTAATGTTTATTATTGTCTTTAACTGGTAACCACAGCTTTTCAATGAATGTAAAGCTGTGAATGATGCCAACAAATCTGAGGTTGGTAAAATATGGTAATGATTACTTAGTAAATGTTCTTTTTTATAAATTATGCAGCTGATTGTGATGAGAGAAAGCTGCTTTTAATGTTATATTTAAGATAAAAAATACACAACAAGAACAGCACGGTGGCACAACTAGTAAAGCTGCTGCCTCTCAGCAAGCAGGTCCCCGGTTCAAATCCCGGTCCGGGGGCCTTTCTGGGTGGAGTTTGCATGTTTTCGCCGTGCATGTGTGGGTTTTCTCTGGGTACTCCGGTTTCCTCTCACAGACCAAAAACATGCATGATTGGTAACTCTAAATTTTCCCTAGGTGTGAGTGAGAGAGTGAATGGTTGTTTGTCTCTATGTGGCTCAGTGATGGACTGGAGACCTGTTCAGGGTGTCCCCTGTCTCTCACACAGGTTATGGGCACCAGTGACCCCCATGACCCAATAGGGAAGAAGCAGGTTATGGATGGATGGATGGAATACCCAACAATAAAAACGATCAAATCATGTTTGATATTTAAAGTTTTTGTTTACATCTTGCATTAGAAGTCATCGCCACACCCACACTTGCCCCTCCCCCTTCATAAATCATAGTCAGCAGCTGCCCTTATTTCTAAAAATCGGCCTTGGCTATTAAAAACCCTAATCGGTCGACCTCTGTTCTGGTGTAATACATTCATCGGTATTGTGGGCTGTGTGTAACAGTTTAAACTCTGTGGTGCACTGAAATTGCAGGCAGCCTGACCTTTACCTGAGCTCAGAGTATCAAACTGAATAAATTTCATAACTGCTTTCCCATCTTAAATCACAGTTGACCTTTAGAGGAGGAATCCAGCCCCCCCACCCCCCACCCCACCTCCCAGAAGTTAATGATGAGTTTCAGAGCCTTACCTCCGTCTGGACAAGGTAGTTGCGTTGTGTGCGTATATGTTTGAGAAAATCCAGGACGCTGACTGTGCTTTTGTCCTTGATCTGTTGCAGCATGCTGTCGATGACGATGTACGTTCCCGTGCGCCCGACCCCTGCACTAAAGAGCACAAGCTAACGTGAGTGGATCCCTAAGTGGGAGATTTTTAACCAAGTCAGCAAAAACAAGTCTCATCAGGTGTGCTCAGTGAAGCCCTGGAGCTCAGCAGTGATGGCGTACCTGCAGTGTACCAGGACGGGACCCATGTCTGCACTCCGAGCAGCCGAAGAGCGGCTGGTGAAGGTGAGAACAGGAAGTGTGTACTCCGGTACTCCCATGTCAGGCCACTGAGTGTAGTGATACTGAATCACAATGCGCTCATTTAGCCTCCCTTTTGGGTTCCCCTTCTGACCCTAAAATATTACAACACATCAATTAAAAGGCTTCTGTTGCACTTTATTTCAGTTTTTACATTAGCTGAATCCACCTATAGCTAATGTAGATCCTCAACACTACAGGTTTGGACCTAAACAGAGATGTGGTGTCAAAGCTTTAGGTAACAAATGTTTGTTAAGAGTTGTAAGTATTAGCAGGTGAACGATTAGCTCATGGCATTGTGTTTTTGTAAACCCTAAAAGCAAATATTTATACTTTAACATTTTAAAATATAATTAGCTAGTCCGCAAACAAAAATGTGGGAATCTTCTTGTAGATGCATACAATCTAAACAATTTATCTAAATCAAGGTAAAATCATCTACCGGTAGTTCTATGTTTCAGGTTAGGTTGAGCATGTTTGTAATTAGGTGAAAATTGGATTAACCATTAAAACTACACATCTCTGTAAGTCTTAAACAGCAAACAAACAACCAAAATGGTTAATTAAAGGTTGATCTAAGCTGGACCATGCTTCATCTTAACATTTTCATGTAAAAAACATTCTGAACATTTAGAGCAAATCTGCTATGAAACAACAAAGCACATAAGCCACATAATCTTCTTAGCAGAGATAATCAAACATTTTTCAACATCACACTAACTTATATACCCCCCCCAAAAAAAAAATCACATAAATATATTATAATAATAATAATAGTTACACATTATTTAAAATCCTTCTTTCTGTATTCTTCTCAGAATTAGAAAACTTTTATTAACCCAAAGTCCAAATCAATTGATTTAGACTTGTGCATTTAACATAAATAGTATAAAGAGTAAAATAAAAAAGTGCTCAAACAACAATCAGCACATTAACGTTAACACGCCACTGATGTTGAACATCACCTGAGACACAAAATGATAAATAGGGTTGGTGAATGAGTTGATGGCAATACACAAATTGAAAAAAAAAAAAAAAAAAAAAAAGACAAAACTTGAATTCATAAACAAATTTAAATTTAATATATACAATAATCTATAAAAAAGACTGGATCAAAAATGACCAACATGTTTAAGGATGTTCAAATAAAGTTAAAAATGATGATAATCTACTTAGAGAAATAAATACTAACTGAAATAAAACGTCATTTCTGGAAACGACAAAAACAAATAATACAAAGTATTTAACGATACAACAGCAGCAGCAACAAAATAAAATAAATGTCTATTTTTTTATCTAGTTTATATTTTGTGTCTACTTCAGATTTTGGCAAGTTCTGTTTTTTTATGTTAAATAAAAACTAAAAGTATAAAACACTAAATTAACTATCTGTATGTGGATACAAACCATTGAAAATATTGCCTACCAAACAGCTGTTCACACAAAGGCTGTCTTTTAATTTAGAAGTTCAAGTTTATGTTTTGATGCCAAAACGTAAAGAATAATTGCAATTACCTTTTTAATTTTTGTGTTCCTTATAAGAAAACGACGCAGCGTGTAGCAGGCGTGAACTTTGGTGCTTTTCAGCATCACCACAATGTTTCCGTACTGTTCGCTGTTCTCTGTTGGCCAGTATTGGTCACATTTTCTCTGAAACACACAGTGAATGATACATAAACATCTGAGAGACAAAACATTTTTATTCTCAGTTTGTGAGTTATTGAAAGACCTACCCTCCCTTTTTCCACCAGGTTGGTTATCATGACAATGATTCCAGTATTCTGCTCCCACACCATCCTCCAGAAGTCCTCAAACGTGGACTTGAGAGGACCCTGAGCAGCTATATAAGCTCTGGGATGGTTGTAGCCCTGAAACAGGAAGTTGGTTGAAAAAAAAAAAAAAAAACCCGTCATTTCCAGACTATAAGCCGTTACTTTTTCCCCACACACTTTGAACACTGCGACTTATACAAAGCAGCGACTAATTTATGGATTTTTTTTTTTTGACAGGCTAACAAGCATCATGCCGGCAAAACATTTAGCCTCGTCACACCCGGGCGCTCACATAGCTGCCCAATACATGTCTCTCTTGGGGGGTGGGTCCTCGTAACTCCATGAGACTACCTGTATAAATAAAGGTTAAAAAAAAAAAAAAAAAAACACTGACCAATGAAATTACTTAACAGGTCACAGTGGACCAATGAAATGGGGAGGGGAGGAGAGATTCCCCGTTCCTCCCCGTTCTCTCCTCCTCCAGTTGCGAAAGGCGGCTGTGTGATGAAGAGGACAGCACAAGCTTGTGCAGGAGGAAGGTGAAGATAGCGATCAATGACTTCCTGGCAGGTTAATGTATTTTTTTTATCCAGCTGTGTTACAGGCACTGTTCAGATTTTTTTTTTTTTTTTACTGTATGTATGTGTGTGTGTTACTGATTTTTTCATTAATTTTTTTAAATTTACCCTTTATTTATACAAGTAGTCTCATCGAGCCACGAGAACTCATTTTCAAGAGAGACCTGTTTGGGGAGCAGATGGTGGGGGTTAAGGGCCTTGCACAGAGGCCCAGAGTGGGGTGAATGAGGGTGGAGGTAGGTGTGGGTGTTTCACCTTTTCCACCCACATTTTGATGTTGGCGACTTTCCGATCACAGGCCCATCTTCTAACCTCTGCGCCACCACTCCCTTACTAATACGTATTTAATTAAACGCTTACAAAATCGTTCTGTGTAAATATCTCATGTTACAACGTGGACACCCGCGGCTTATAAAGCACGGTCTGTATATGTACACAATTTTTTTTTTTTTTCGGTGGGCGCCAGCTTATATTCAGGTGCGCTCAATAGTCTAGAAATTACGGTAGCAATCTTTTTAATATTTCCTAAAAATTGGGAACTGACCCTTTCTCTTACTCGCAAAAATTGTCAGAATTTAAAGATGTGCTGATATGCGGTACTCAATTCAAACCCTTTTTCTTATTTGAAGTGCCACTTGATTTTTTTAAACTTCAGTGCCTCACTTGATATTCTAAATAACCCAGAAAAAAAATGCAGCTCTGTGAAGAATTCTTCACAGCTCATATTTGCTTCAATAACTAAACTGTGACCTGCATTCATGGAACAAAATTAAAAAAAACAACAACAAGTCATGAGTGAAATTGAGGAAACTTACATCCACATAGTTGGCGTTGATGTAATCTGAATGTTTGGCATCTTTCCCCGGCAAAGCTCTTAATTTCACCCTGCTGTGGTCATCTAGGAAAAAGCATTGATGTATTTAGAGGACTCATGAGCAGAAGGAAAACTTGATCTAAAACACGTTATTGAATCCCACAGCGGTAGACATCCTAATCAGATTTTACAGCTGACTCACAGGCCACAATGTTGATGTATCTGTTTTTGTGCTTGTTGTCAGGATGATTGGAATGTTCTGCTGTGATTTTTAAGTCGACTGTGGAGCGCTGGACCTCCTGGAGAGAGAAGAGAATAGGCAGAAATGGATTTCATTAAACAAGAGGAGATGAGCTAATAGAATTAGCCGCTTGATTTCCATGAGACTGTAACGTTGGTGTTATAAAGACAGATTCTTGTGATCCTATCGTCTTTCAGTTTTGTTAAGGGGACCTTTTATTCTAGTCTCTGCATACGGAGCTCAGCGCCCAAGATGGAGTGAACTTCCAGCAGGGATTCAGTGTCTTAAGGACGATTCAGCAGAGCAGATGCTAACCGCCACTGGGGCTCCAACTAAAGCCTACAGTAGAACAGTCGTCTTCTTTTCCTCTTCACTACACTTTGGTGCATTCAGCTGTCCACAAAAAGCAGTCGCTTCCAACACGGGTTCATACTGGTGTGTTTGAAAATCATGCACACCAGCCTCACATCAAATAACACCAATTAGAGGGAACACTCTAGGGGTGAAGCTTTTGACTTCTTTCTTAACCTAGTTACATTGAAAGAGAAAAAAGCATGTTCCCATCCAGTCAACCAGCACAAAGGGTCTTCTCTAATTAACCTTCATCTCTGATCTTTCTCTGCATCTTTCTTTCCACCATCTGGTCAGAATTCGTGATTCTACACGTAAAGACGAAATTAACTTCAAACCGTTGTTCGGATGAGAAGACGTGCAGAACTGACAAAACACTACCGGATTATCAGTCTGTGCAAAACTCGAGAGAAAAGACAAACACATGCACGGTTTTGTTCTTTCATGCTTGGAACACCATACACACCGTAATGAATGCTAGTGTTGATTCTTTGTCGTACAGGAGGACACGACAACTCCCAATAGTTCTAAAACAGAGCAGCTGGACAGGAAAATAAGAAAAGAAGTCCAGTCGCTTTGTTTTAAAACTCTTAGGGTTCGCCATGCGCCAAATCAAACAAACAATGAAAACGTACCTCGAATTCCTCAGCGAAGCCTTGCATGTTGTTCTTGTACAGCTCCATGACATGTTTGACAAACTGCTTGACGGGAACGGCCTCCATATCATCTGCAGGAGAAAGAAACAGGAGTTGAAACAAAGTGCTCGTTTTGATGTACAACCCCATCTGACAAAGGTAGCAAGTAAAATGTAAATGAAAATAGAATTCTATGGTCCGAGGATCACACAAATCAACATTTTATTCTCAGTGGAAAACAGTAAACAGGTCAAATGTTTAAACAAAGAATATATAGAACTTAAAAAAAGAAAGAAGAGAAATCTGAATTTAATGGAAGTACACATAAGAAGACTTGGGACAAGAACAGCAGAAGGATGACAGAATATCTCGTCATTTACCGTTTATAAAACCCGTAATGAAAGTCAGTAATGCATGTCCATGATCTTTGGGCCCTATGGCAGCACTGCACTAAACATAGACCTGATTTAGTTCAGGACTTCACTGCGTGGACTCAGGAACACTTCCACAAATCATTTTCTGTAAACATTTTTATTTCAACCATAAATGCCAGTTAAAACATGCTTAATAGTGGTAAACATGACCTAAATTTGAGATGGGTTTCTGCAATAAAAAATGTAATTTACCTTATTTTCTAAAAAAAAAAAAAAAAAGTTAAATTTCTTAGAGTAAACATTTGATATATTTATGAAATTCTATTGTGAAATTTGCATATCAATTAACTCAGTTTTTATTTTCAATTTTATATAAAATCCCACCATTTTTTGGAAGCCAGAAGCTAATTTTTAGGGGGAAATGTGTAAGAGTTTTATGATAATTGATCATTCAGACCAAGGCTATTCAACTAAAATGCTCAGTTACTGAAAGCCAATAGCTCAGGGGCCAGCCAACCATCAGTTATTGTCATTAAATAAGTTTGTTTTATGGTTTAAAATCCAGTTATAGTTAAAAATGAACCCATTGGTGGGCCATACTGAGTTCATCCGTGGACCTGATTTGGCCCCTGGGCCACCAATTGAATAGCCCTGGTTCAGACAGTGTAAGATGGAAGAGGATGACTCGCTGTGGCGACCCCTGAAGAGGGAACAGCCAAAAGAAGAACAAAGAGTAAAAGCCGTATCAGTTACGACAAGCTTATTTTTTTAAATGAAGAATTGTTTATTTGATTTGACAGACTAACATCACAAACAGCTATCTCTGGGTTTTGGGAGGTTGTATTGGAGGGAGCATCTGTTTCATCTGAGCCAAATCAGCCCCAAATCACACATGAAGGATGTTCGATCAGGCTGGTTGACACAGGATGCACCAATGCAGGGGGCTCAGCTGTCACAGCTGCTGATGCGGGGCAATGTCTTAACTAACACACCTCTGCAGCTGAGGCCTGTCGGGCCTTTCAATGCTTCAGTGACTGCAGCAGGAAGGAGAATTCTCATTTATTAATCTGGTCATTTATCAAAGGGGTTCTGTAGGCATGAATTCTAATGGACCACATTCTGGTTTTATAAGGACGTAAAAGTGTTCACATGTAGGGTTAAATGTACCGTAGATCTATTTCAAATTTTTAATTATGGTTGAATAAATTCGAAGGAAGATTATGAAAAAAAAAAAAAAAAGAATTGAACTGGATTGAAGAGAAAAAAAAGAAAAAAATAATTAAAAGGAGGAAGAGAAGAAGGACAAATGAAAATTAAAAACCGATGAAAACAGTAAGTACAGACCTTTAATAGAAATAATGAAATTAAGGAAGAAAGGAAGTGGAGGGAAGAGAAAGAATTAACAAATGAAGAAAGAATGAAGAAAAAAGAAAAATTGATGAAAAAATAAGAAAGGAGAGAAGGAATGAAAGAAGAAAGGATGGATGGAAGAAATGATGGAAGAAAGGAAGGTAGGAAGGAAGGAAGAAAGGATGGATGGATGGAAGGAAGGAAGAAAGGAATGAATGAATGAACGAAAGAAGGAAGAAAGGATGGAAGGAAGGAACAAAAGGAAGAAAGGATGGAAGGAATGAATGAAAGAAGGAAGAAAGGAAGGAAGGAAGCAAGTGTAGTGAGTCACGTGAGGTACGTGTCACTTGTTGTATGACAAATATATGGATATATATTTATGCATACTTTTCACGAGTTCTTCATTTTTCTGACTGTAAATGCCGTGCATTGAATTTAACACAAAATGTAACGAGAGACGTTATTTATCTTTGACCCATCAAATGAATGGAATCATTTATTTTCAGAATCAAAGTTTAACATCAAACATTTACATTAATTTGGCAAAATATGAAAATAATAACAGACAGTTTCACAGAAAATGAACTTCAAATCACTCGGCGGTGATTTGAGGACTTTGCTTCAGACATTTCTAAAAATATCTGTACTGATTTATGAGAGAGAAGAGTTTAAGATGAAAGGAGATTATCTTACAGAGAACTGTGTGAGGGAATTTAATCTGTTTGACCAGAAGTTGCACGCTCCCATCAGGTATCTCAGCTTTGCCCACGGTACACTTGGTCGAAGAAGTCTTTACCTGGTTTGACGATGGATCAGCTCAGTAAGCATCCTTCAGACTGTTTCAGCGCCTCCGTTAAGAACAGCTAAAAATCCTCGGAGAGTCGTGCGTGGTTAGCTCAAAACAGAATTATAATCCCAAACGTCCCTGGTTCTTCATAACTCCAAACTCTTCATAACTCTTGGACTCTTCATTGCTCTGAAGCTTTCAGAACCGGCTGCACTCTCAATCAGCTCTCATTCCAACATCTCTCAGAACTCTCATTCTCTTGGAATTCTGGAAAATCTCGAATTCTAACATGAACTGGGAAGTTGCCACATTTTATTTGGGTCGACTTCCTGTTCAATTTAGAGCTTTCTGATTCGTGGAAGGACCAGAAAGAGGAGTGGTTTTGACGTAAGGTGTTTATCAACAGTCGAGGTCAGAGAATGAAATTTGTTTTCACATACAGAAAAGATTATTGCAGCAACAGCAGACTTTTTGGAGTCTACTCTTGGTAATCTTCTGAAAAAGTTTAAACATGACATTTTTCTCGGTAAACATTTTAGTTGACCGAAAACCAACCTTTCACATACTTACGACTTGACTCATTTCAGACAGAAAATCAAGGAATGCATATTCAGGTGATTTCTTCTTGGAATGAGGAATAAAAATCATTACTTACTGTTTATGTAAAATAAAAATGAGTAGTTCTTTTCAACCTGTAAAGCATTGAGTGAACTAACACAATTTGATTATTAAAACATTTGTAAAACAGTAATGATTATAGAGGATTGTCTTTTCTGCTTGATTAATTCAAGAAAGAAAGTCATCAGATGGCCCAGACTAATTCAGATCAATGAAACTAACAGTCTCTGTCCATCTGGTAGATTTGAGGTCATCTGGTTCACTACACAAGCAAGGAAGGAATGAATGAACGATAGAAGGAAGAAAGGATGGAAGGAAGGAACAAAAGGAAGAAAGGATGGAAGGAATGAATGAAAGAAGGAAGGAAGGAAGCAAGCAAGGAAGGAATGAATGAACGATAGAAGGAAGAAAGGATGGAAGGAAGGAAGGAAGAAAGATAGGAAGGAAGGAAGCATGCAAGGAAGGAATGAATGAAAGAAGGAAGAAAGAAAGGAATGAACGAATGAACAAACGAATGAACAAACGAATGAATGAAAGAAGGAAGAAAGGAAGGAAGCAGGGAAGGAACAAACAAAAAAAAGGAATGAAGAAATGAAGGAAGCAAGAAGGAAATAAATGATAAAAGGAAACATTGAAGGAAGGAAAGAAAAAATGAATAAAGGGATAAAAGGAGGGAAGGACATTAAGAAATACCCCCCACCCCCCAAAGTCAAGAAAAACCTAAAAAAAAAAAAAAAGGAAATATAAACAAAGGCAGAGAAAAAACAGAGGAGCAGAAAAAAAGAGCTGTGGGAGGGAAGGATGTGGTGTGAATGCCAGTGAAAGCTGCTCTCGGTCTCCACGCTCTCGCTGCCTCAAAACGTCCCTGAGCTTTAAGAGACTGCGAGAGTAAAGTCAGATATCGACAAGCTGCCACGGCACTGCTGCCTGGGATATTAAGTGCAAAGAAAAGCCAGTCACTCAACTTCTATAAAGCTGTTCAAAGAGTCACTTCACATGTAAATAAACAGAGGCTGCACGCAAAGATGTCAAGGCAATACAAGAAACCATCTGAAAACGGTTAATGAGGCACAGCAGAGGTGTGCTTTTATCTGCTGACAGAGACCCCAGCAGCACAGTTTACTTCATACATACACCTTTTAGGTTAAATTAAAGAATGCAAATATTGCCTTTAAAACTAATTGTGTGAATGTTTATGAAGCATTCACACTATTGTGATACATTTTTCTTCCATACATTTTTATGCACAATTCTCATCTCCGAGTTTTCAAATTATTTCAACAAATCATACTTCAAAACGTTCAGACTTTTGGTATTGGTGCAACTTTAGCTTTTTGAAATATTTAGCCTTTTCTGCTCATTTTTCCTCTTTTTCCTCACAGAAAATGAATTGAGCTCATTTTACATCCTTCAAATCTTTAGATCTGTTTACAGCCTTTTACTGCTCCTTTCACATTTGGTTCTGCTTCAACTTCTTTCAGCTTCATTTTTTTCAGCTATTTTCAGCTAATTTCAGCTGGGGGGGGGGGGAGTGTTCAGCTGTTTTGTGCTCCTTTCAGAATCTTTCTGCTAACTACAACATTTTTGTGCTTCTTCTAACTTTTTTCTGCTAATTTCAGCTTGTTATCCTCCTTTCAGCTTATTTCTGCAAGTTTCAGCTTTTGCTACTAATTCAGCTACAATATAGCTGTTCTTATACTAATTTAAAATTTTCAGCTAATTCCACATTTTTTGAACTTAAACTTTTTTCAGCTTAATTCAGTAAAAGTGTGCTCTTTCCACTCCCCTTCTGGTAATTTAAGCATCTTTCTGCCTTTTTAGCAACTTTTCAGCTGTTTGTTGATAATTTTATCTTATTCCAGATAATTTCTCTTTAATGTGCTCATTTCTACATCTTTTGGTCTAATTGGACAAACGTTCTTTCTGCTAATTTAAGCTTGTTCTACCATTTCAGCTACCTTTTTTTTAAATATAAATTTTTAGCTGAACTCAGCTGTTTTAAGATAAATGCAAGTTTTTCATGTTAATTTCTGCAACTTTCAGCCTAATTAATTTCTTTCTGCTAATTTCAGCTTGTTATGCTCCTTTCAGCGTTTTTCTGCTAGTTTCAGAATTTTTTGCTATTTCAACTACTATTTAGCTGTTTTTATGCAAATTTTAGCTTTGTTAGCAAATTCCATTTTTTTTAGCTCATTTCAGCTCTTTCCACTTCCTTCTGGTAATGTAAGCTTCTTTCTGCCGTTTTAGCAACTTTTCAGCAGTTTGTTGCCAATTTTAGCTGCGTTTTTTATTTTTGTGCTCATTTCTGCCTATTTAAACCTAATTCTGTAAATACCTGTTCTTTCTGCGTTTTTCTTGCTAATTTAGACTTGTTCTTCCATTTCAGCTACATTTCAGCATGTTTTGTTTATTTCATTTCAGCTGTTTTTCAGCAAGTTCTTCTGCATTAAGAATTCACGCTGCATTTTTGCAGGAAATGCAATTTCTCTAGTTTAAAATGTTTTAGAACTTCTCACCTTCCCTCATTTGACAAATTATTAACTACATTTCAACTACTTTTATTTTTTTGCTATACTTGCGCCGGAGTATCTTAACAGTGTTGTCTGGCAAACTGCTTTGAACACTATATATGTATATGACTTTTTTCCAAACACGCATCAAAAATTCAGGATGTCTCACCTGGTATGGGGATGATTGGAATATTCTCATTGGCCACCACCCGTGGAGAGCTGCTCTCCTCCACGTAGAAATGAGCCGTCTGGAAAAATCTCCTACAGGGAACATGGAACGATACAACCAGTGAGTATAGCACAAGAAATACACCAAATATCATCAGAAATGATGCAGTAAAGTGTATTAGGGACCTGTCCTCAGATGTAGTCTGTCAACATTAGCATAGAAATGTTAAGGAAAATGACAACAGCTGAAAAGTCCTAATGAAAACCCCAGAGTAGCCGAGACACGGCTGATCGCTCGCAGAGCAAGCAGCTCCTGGAAACACACTAAATCAGGCTTTAGGGAAAAGGTTAAATTATGTACAGCGGCTCACAGAAGCACATTGCTAATTTTTAGGTTTTCAAACAAACTGAAGACAACTAATCAAAACATATACTTTGGTCTCCACTTTTAATTCTCCTGACACAGACAACAATGAAACCAACTTTAAACACTCATTTTTGCAACAGCTTTTGTAGAACGTTGATTTCCACTATTAGTCACTGAACAGTTGCCAAAAAATAAATTGCAACTCTTGAACAAATCCTTGCAAATCTGACACAGGTCAAGGTTAAAAGTTTTCAGAATGTCAAAAACACATCAGTAAGTCATAATAATATGGTATTACCTACATTATTTAGCAGCAGATATTTCAGCGATGTAAAAAGGGCAGTTTTTGAGGTCAATGTATTCCATACTCGAGACAAATTTCTCCTCAGTGTGAGACTAAAAAAATCTACAATTCTAACTAGACTGAAAACAGCGAGAGTGGAATATTTTATGGCCTGAACACCTTGCATATCCACCATCTCCTCTGACATAAACACGCTCTGATAAATTCACAGGAGCTCTAAATATCCTCCAGTTAATCCTACCTGGACTTGCTGCAGAGAAAGGAGCAGATGCTTGTCATTCTTTTAGAGAGATAAAACAAAACTAATAAAAAAATGGTGGCACAGCATGAAAGAAAGAGAGATGGAGCAAGAGACGACAGAGAAAAACAAATTGGGGGGAGGAGAGTTCCAGCCCCAACCCCCCCAGTTTACGTCACTTAACTCCTAAGCTAACAGCTCCCTTAAGAGTGCAGATGTGGTCCAGCTACCAAAGCTGTGCAGCTACCATCTCCTTGGTGACTTCTTGCTCCCACAGCTGCAGAAGAAGTGTTTGCTTCGAGGAAGCAGAAACGAGGGATTAAACTTCCGGGGAAACGTGAGCTTCAGCGGCAGCGAGGTGTTAACAAGAGGTTGGATTTGATCTCGTTTTGACATTCGTCTGACTTTTCGACAAACGCCTCACAGCATCAGAGGATTCCAGATGTGCGCCCTAACTCCAACAATTATTTCCACTGTGGCCTGGATCATCCTGACCAAACAATCTGGACGAATAAATGAAATACGTCAGTTTTAAATGTAGATAAAGTTGAAAAAAGAACTCAAAACATTTATGAATGAAGTGACAATAACCAACACATTTCCAACCAGAGGCAGCCGTTAGCTTAACTAGTTGCTTTGTCATGAGGAGGCTATGCAGAAGATAAAGATTTAAGAGTGTGTGAATTTCGTCTCTCCTCATGGCCTTTTCCCTCGGGACGTAGGCATTGTCTGTGAACTGTCGGAGCTGTCACAACAACAGCTGCTGTAATCTCAAAGCTACCTCCGTGTTTCTACTCGAGTACCACAACTCCCCGGTAATTCATCCACCAACTGAATCCGCTACAGTCATCTCTTTTCCAGCTGTCTGTTTTTTACACCTCTACGGAGCTGATAGCCAGGCTTTTATTTATATTGCAACTTTATAATCCACCACAGTAAGGTGCAATAAACATTTGCAGCAGCGATCTCACTGAGCTGCACAGTCCAAAATGAAAAATAAAAATATACCAAGAGTAAAAACAAATATAAACCTACACGAGTAGCCGCAGTAAATAAGTCTGGCACCAACTGAGGAAGTGGTCTGTAGTGCTATTTGTTTCTCATTAAGCGCCATCCGACATGTGCTAGTGGCCTGGCCTGTGTAATTACTGGGGCTCCAGTGGCGTGGCTGGAAATTAGCCCAGCAGATGAAGACACAGCTGGGACCTGTGCTGGAAGTGTAGGGCTTTCAGGTCTCTTCCCCTTTACCCAGTGGGGTGATGGGTCTGATATGCAAAGTGAGGGGAAGAGTGGAGCTCCTCTGTCTTAAGATTGATGTGTCTTCCTTTGAAAAACACGCCCAGACCATGTTGGGCTGAAAGAAAAATCCAGGAAGTGTAAAAAAGATGATGGGGCAGGCGTGGGTGAGGAGCAAGGAGGCATGATCCAGTAATAGCCCTTTCAAGATGAGACAATTTTGTAAAAGCACTTGATCAATGACCTTTTACTCTTCTAACAGACGTTTCTAGCAGCGTGATGATGCCTCTGTAATGTGGTTATGCAGGCTTATTGAACTCTTTCTCACCTCCAGTAGACCATCACGATGAGCAGCATGATGAGGCACAGCAGAGTGAGTGCAGACACCACAACCAAGGGCACAATCCACACCATCCTTCCCATTCCTGGGTGGGGTGTCCGCGTCGTGTTGGATAAAATAGTTCTGTCTACAAGATAATAAAGAAGCAAGTTTTAAATACATATTTATGGGTTATTCGTTAAGAACGTAAATCTCCATTAAAATTCTATATACAAAATCATTTCTGATTGTGTTTGTCAATGTATCATTTATATTATGGCGAGTTAGCCTGTTTTTATATGTTTATTTTTTATTGTTTTACGCTATTTAACCAGGCAAATCGTACTGAGATCACAGATCTCCTTTGCAATTTCAAGGTTCAAGGTGACTTTATTGTCATTGGCATCACACGCGGTACATGAAATGGAACGAAAATGTGTATCCAAGGTTCCAGTTACACCCAAAAATAGCAATACAGTAATATAAACAATAAAAAAAAAATTGTAAGACATAAAAGAAAGTACTGCAAAATATTTCTTCACAACTGCTTTTTGGGACTATCCAAATCTCAAATTCCCCCCATGGGATTAATTAGTTATTTAATTAATTAACTAAATAATTAATAAATAAAATAAATAAATAAAGTCAGTAAGTAAATACGATCCATCTATCTACAGTATCCATCCATACATCCATACATCCATACATACATCCATACATACATCCATCTGTTAGCTAAAATTAGCTGTTTAACATTTAGACATTTGTAACATTTGTAGACTCTGAAAACTGTAAGAAATTAAACAAATAGTAGAAAATAACTCTAAAAGTTACCCCCCCAAAGTTTTTTTTTCCTCCCTATTTTTTTCATGGTCATAAAGTAGTTTTTGATAAACCAGTTAGGTTTTTTTATGTGAGGACCTAAAATCTGGTTGGAAAAATTAAGAGAATAAATTTTTTTTTCTCCAAAAATCCAGAGAACTTAGCCCACACATTTCAGGAAATTAATCAAACATATTTAGAGCAGATACTTAAAATTATTCCAACCCTAACCTTCAGCTGTCACAACCCACAACAGATTTAAAAGAACCCTGCAAATTGTTTTCAGTTCTTGTGCAAATCTTATCTTTGCAAAAATCTTTGGCTTATAATTGACTGTTTGACAATCTATGTTCATAGAATTTACCATTTCTAACACGGCGGAGGCAAAAAAAAAAAAAAAAAAACGCCTCACCAAAGCTTTCCCTTGAAGCGAACTCTTTTGAAATCTGCTTAAAGGAATTCCTTGAGGCAGAACCCCTCTGGCAGACAGCCGTCTCCTTCCTTCAGGCCTCTGTGTGTTGTAGTGACACAAAAGCCTGGAGCTTTGTCTTTGAGTGAGATGGTAACTAGTGTATTTACGGTCTTGTATCAACTTATTTGTTCTTCTAAATTGGACTTCATAAATGTTGGTAGTGTTTACAGAATTTAACTTCGAAGTAAAGTCTTGCCTCATAATATAGGTAACTAGAAGAGATCAAGGCTTCCTAAGAGTTCAAAAACATTTTTTTGTGCTTTGAAAGGGATTTAAAATGTGTTTGAAGGGAAAAGATTTGCTCACCAGTGTGAACAGAGAAAGGCCAGAGACTCTTTCCATCATTAATCTTTGGAGACAGTGTAGAGCTCTGTGGGATCTGCATCTCAGCGCTGTCATTATGGGGCTCCTGAGTGGAGACTGCGTTTGCTTCTGTGGGCCGTTTCTCCTTGTTGACCAAATGCTCATCATCGGTGCTCGCAGGGACCGTGTTGCCTTTAACTGCAGGTCTGCCCTCTCCTTTCTCTTTGGCTGTGGATGCGGGGGTTGGGATTAAAGGCTCTTCGGACACAGTGCTGTTTGCTTGTTTCTCCTCATTATCAGGAGAATTCTTGCCCTTTCTCTTCTTCTCCTCCTCCTCTTCTTCCTCCTGCTCTCCCTCTCGCTCGCCCTCTTCTTCCTCCTCCTCACCCTGACCTGCAGCCTGTTTCTCCCCAGACTGCTTGTCTGTCTCAGCTCCCTGAGTTGCTGTCCGCTCAGTGCTGGACTTCGTGGGCGGGGTGGACGAATGTGCCGGGTTCTGAGTGGGGCGAGGGGCCTGTGTGGGCCAAGCAGAACTGGGCAAAGAAGAAATCACCCCTCCACCAACACCCAAACCTGCCAGCAAAGTGCTCGTCACCACTGATGCCACTGTGGCCTGGCTCCCGCTAGAGGAGGGACCCATCCCGGTTGCCATGGAGACAAGAGAGAAGTGGATGCCAGAGGACGTCCAAGTGGAGGAACCAGAGCTGATGGGAGCCATGTCCGCTGAGGAAGCTGGAGAAATTGTTGGCTGCGAAAGACAGGCAGGATAACAACGTGGTCAACAACGTGGTGAAAATGACTTTCAACACATAAAGAAATTTGCACTGCCATCTTCTGGTCAACTAACCATTCCAGTCTTCACAATGCGAGAGCCTTCAAATATTCTCGTTGTGTTGGCTGCAGAAGAAAAAAAAGTAGAGGAAATTTATAAATCTGTGACATACTGTATTTTGAGTTTTGAAAGATAGTTCAGGTGGTTTTAAGTGGTGTTTTGTGGATAAGCTGTAAACAGTGCCTTACCTGTGTTAGATACTTTTTAATGACTTCAGTTTAAGTAACAGTTTTATTTTAGCTGGATTGGTTGACAAAATAATGTATAGTCTGAGTGAGGCCAGGACCAAATAAGATTACATCTGCCTTAAAACAATTTAAATCTCCAAAATTAATCTATGTAAATATAGTTCATGCAAACACCATTCTATAAATATTTATACAGCTATCAATTTTCATTACACAGTTATTACAGTGAAAATATTTCCAATATTCCTGCTGAAAGTGTTCTAGAATAGGGGTTCTCAAAGTTTTTGGTTTAGGAACCCCCTCATAACCCTCATGTTTATTAAACAATTTTCTTCAATTTGTCTCTTTAATGCAATGGAAATATCTGTGTAACATAAATACTTTAGACCTGTTCCTTAATAGAGTTAATACAATTTGTATACTTTTAAACATGGGGTATTTTTCATTCAAGCCACACTTAATTAACAAAATATTTAATTTCAACTTCCAGTAATTACAGCTTTGAGAAAATTAACCGCATCAGAAACCACTTTTAAACTTTACCTTTTCACATAATAAATGTGTTGCCACGTCTTCAAATTATTACAGAAAACTCTTTACATCAAACTGAACAGAATCAGAACAGCAGTAATCAGACAAAGTAACAGGACTTCATTTGCAAACCGATCGATGCCGGAACGCAAATAGTGGACGGAAGGGGGGGGGGGGGGGGGGGGGGGTGTCTCCCCCAGAAAGTATTGAATAAAGTATATGTGATTTCCTGCATTTTGGTGTATTTTAACAGGTTGTTAAACATCTATGTGCTTGTAAAAATAAATATATACCTATCTATTTTTTTTTAAGGTTTTTTTTTTTTGTGGACCCCAAGCATCGGCTCGCGGACCCCCGGGGGTCCAGGGACCCCAGCTTGAGAACCACTGTTCTAGAATATACTGGAAGTGCTAGCTGATGCTTTTTGTACTTGTTAATTTTTATTTTTTAATGTAAACTAATGTAGAACTGATGATGACATAAAAGTTTATAAAATAGTGTTAGCATTGCCGAAAAGTTTTGGAGATTGGAGTTGCTTTAAGAAAGCAGAAAAAAACACTTTTGTCTTACAATTATCAGTTCAGTCAGAAAAAACAACCCCCCCCCCCCCCCAATACTGAGGCTCTTTAAAATCAACAAGTAAAATATTATTTGTTCAAACATTTCCAAAAAACCATGCTTAAAAAATTAAATTAAATAAAAATGAAAAAACTGTCCCTTTAAGGACATACAATAAGCAACAAAGACTAAACAGCTTTAGCTTAAAGGATGTACCTCTGAACAACAGCGTCTGGCTGAAGTCACTACGCTGGTCATGCTGACACACAGCCTGCACTCTGAACAGGTACAGGAGGTCAGGGGACACATTCGTAATAATCGCTTTCTGCAAGAGAAACACACACGCACACACACACACAAGCAGAAAATATAAATGTAGTAGAATTACTTCTAAAAGAGTGGATGCTGGTGGCTAAAATGAAAATATATTATGTAAAACTTCAGTCCTTTTTTCTGCTTAATTTGTTAGTGTTCACAGATGGCTACAGTTATATTAAAAATGTCTACAAAATTGGACGGGTGATTGCCTCTGCAAATGTAGAGCCAGTTTATTTATTTTTTCTTGGTAATAATTCAGATAAAGTTTCCAGAGACAGAAATTGAAATGGAAATGAAAGTGGGCAAAATGAGAGAAACTGACAGCTGAGTGGACAATAATGACAGAAGTGTAATTATACGGCTGTGGCACCACATAAACACAGTGATCATTCTTTCAATCATCCATTTGAACTAAAATGGCAACAATAAAAACTTACAGTTCCTAATGAAACAGAGATAAACAATAAAAACAATTATTTTTTTGTTATTGAAAAACTGCTAAAGGCAGAAAAGTAGTCTCAAAAGTCCAACACTTTTTAACCAGTCATACTCACAACTCAAATATGAGTTTAGAAAAATGACTCCTCTTCATATCTTCCACCTACACAAGTTTCTCCATGGTATAGTGATCCTAATAGAGAAGTCTCTGCCTTGTTGTGTCTCACGACAAGCCCACAGAAAACAGAGAATGAAGACTAGACCGTAGAGATGTGACAGTTGTGCCAGACAACCTCGGGGCGCAGTATGGTTGATAGAGAACTAAAAGGTCACTGAAATGTTGCAGCAAATTGCCTGGAGTAGCAAATAACCAGCAAAGGGAGATTTGAAATGAAATGTTTTCTATGTTTAAAGTCGGTCCGAGCCATTGTGGCAGGTTTCTAGAGAAGCCACGATTAAGGGAGACTTCTGAGCGTGCAGAATCCAAGGGAAAGGAAATAAATATTAATCCGTCTTTAGCTGAGCATAGCATTAACTTAATTTGTAAGGCTGTCCTTGACAGCAAGAAGCCTTTCTGCATATTCATTTCAACTTACTTGTCCATCACGTCTAAGCTTCGGCGACTAGATTCCAAGTTAAAGATCCCCTCCAGGCATCTTTTAAAGGCTTGCAGCATAAAGATGAGCAGCACAGAAGATGCTGTGAGTAAAACCTCGTCTTGTTTGTGTTTTTTCTTCTTCTCTCCTTCTACCCTCGCACTAAGTAGTTCCATTAAATGGTTAAAAATTCCTAAAATTAACATCTCCTCCCCTGCATCTCTCCCAAAATTTATGAACGTTTCTAATTATCTTCATTTTCAGGGAGTAAACGCTGAACGCAGCATTTCCTCCGATTCATTCAGTGAGTGTCTGCAATGGAGGCATCAAGCATGTGTAAGCTGGATATCGGACAACAGTTTGCTTGTAAACTAGCTCCAATGTCACTGAATCATCTTTAAAAATGAAAGTTGATGTAAGGGAAAATGGCTATTTAGTGCCAATCGCCACATATTTGGAGACGGGTCTTGCTTTAAAAGAAAAGCTCAGACTTTCCATCAGATTGTTCACGCTCTCTGTGCAGCGATTCACTAAAGCAGCAACGTTGCAAGAGGCATCACCGGCCTATAACCTATAGCAATGGGAACTGGGTATTTTGGAATGCATGACCAGGCTGGAGGTGGTGGTGTCACGAGGGAACTGATCCTAGGATTCTGAACTGGCGGGTGCACGTTTTGACCCGGCGCTGTTTATATCTAAAGAGGCAGTCATGCAAACTATCGAGACAGCTGGGGGTCAGCAGGCCTTGAAGAAATGCACAGTTGGATGTTGGATTCCCAGAAATGGAAAGATGTATGACCGGGGAGAAGACGACTATGCGGTGTAAAAAAAAAAAGAACATCCAAGTAAGTACAACCTCCTGCAGAGGGAAGATTTATTTCTGTAGACACACGGTGGATGTTTTGCTAAAAAGATACAGTAAGAAGTGGAGAGGTATTCTGATGTTAACGGCAGCTGAGCTGAGTTAAATGATCAGTGGATCACAGATCTGAAGAACTACATTTGCTCTGCATTTGTTATTAAATGAAGTGTGTTCAAAGAGCCGTCTCTGCTGCCTGAAACCAGATCAGGTTTTTTTTTCTTTTTTAAATACTCCGTGGTTTTCACATTGGTAAAATAAAAGTGCAAAGATCACTTTTGTTTATACCTCTCTGGCTTGAATTAACTTTTTGACCTTGTTAGACAGACACCCACTTCAGAGACTGATTCACATTTAAATGAATGCAAAAACAAAAAAACAAACAGCAATAGAAGGAGAAAAAAAAATGTTGCGTCTGAGTAAAGGCCGCAAGGGTTTTTGTCAGCTCATTATACATATATCAGTTGTGACGCGTCAATGTCTGCAACAGGCCCGTGTTTCTATTGTTAGACAGGTGAGTGACAGCGGAGCGTCTGGGTCCTCATATCAACCAGCAGCCACATGCAGAGTTCATCACAACCTGTCTCCCCCTTTACACACCGTCACTGATCCAGCCAGCGTTTCATCCTGACAGATACATCTGAGGCTCTGCTCTCCAGTCACTGCTGGTTATTGTGAAATAAAATGTAATAAAAATTAAAAATAATGTGCGGTGGTGTGTGGTATGGCTCACCATGCTCTGGTCTCCGGTCTTAGAGAAGGTCTTTTCATCGGCGATGTCCCGCTTCACCCAGCTGTAGGACACCATGTAGCTGGTGATGGGGGGGTGATAGATTGTCAGAGGGCGTTCCCAGCTCACGATCAATGCTGTCTGGTTTAGCGGCTGGATCTTCATGCTCACCGGGGCACTGCTGCACACTGGTGCGGAATAAAGAGAGGAGTGTGAGAAGCAGGCAGCGTCAAAAAGGAAAAACAAACAAACAAAAAAACAGCTTTCGCAACAATCTTTCACTGACTGCAAGAAGATGGAGAGCCTCTTGATCATATTTATTTGAGACTGCTGAGCACGGGTTGCCTTTTAACACTCTCTTTGCTGACTCATGAAACTTGATTTAAAGCCATTTTCCAACAGAAAATCATCTAAATGTGCAAAGTAATTCAGTAACTTAATAATAAAACCCTCTCGAAAGCTTTACTAGGGTCAGACAACTTCAGGTGGAGGAGTATATTATCACAGTTCAGATTTGTGCTCTTTTATCTCACAGTACAGGAGATTTCAACCCACCAGGGCTTAGTCAGATAACGTAGCAACGTCCCCCCATTTCCAATCTGCAAGTTGCTCAAAGTAAGACAAGCAGTATGCACGAGGAGGATGGAATAGAAAGATAAATAAATATATACATGTGAGCCAGCCTGAAGGTGGCAGTGCAGGCTGCAGCATGGAAATTTACACAAGATCCATCAGTATGAGGAAGGGACAATATGGACAGGCTCTCAGCACATCAGGGCAGTAGCAATCAGAAACTAGTGTCAAATGACTATGTGCTCTTAGAGTTTCTGCCAAATTGAAATTGTCACCACAATTTTCCCCATTTACACGGCGAGGCCGTGACGCGAATTATGCACCATGACATGTGAGAGATGGAAAGAAAGACAGGGAGGAAGGGAATCAGTCAAAGGATCACAGGGGAAAAGAAACAACAGGAAGGAAATCTCAGGGTGTTGATTAGGTGTGACAGGTGCGAAATGCATCATAACCTGTCGGCTGTTCGTTGTCAGCTTCAGTAGCTCAAGAACAATAATTTAATAGCAGCTGAAGATGTCACCGTGGTTTTAGTGCCTGTGTCGTTACTGTCCTGACAATCACCTTCCTTTTTACAATTAACACAAGCATATTAATAACCCTCTAGATACCATCTTATCAGCTCCTGCTTTGCATTTTTAAAATATAACTTTGCAATTCATGGGCCTGAGAAATAGTTTGAATATCTTTAAGTCCAATAATTCATCAACTTAATTTTTAACTCCTAAAATTGCTGCAGAGTTCTTTAGCTTGAAAAAGCAGATGAAGAGCATATGGCAGTGAACATAACGAAGCAGATCTATGTAGTAGTTTATTAGCATCTAAATTATAAAAATGCAAATGATGCGAGACTTAGGGAATTTATACAATGCATACTCAAACCTCCCAAAATAACCCTCCTAGAGCTTCCATCTTATCCTGCAATAGCACTCAGAGCAGAGCATGAATCTTCCTCTTGGCAGCTTCTACAATGAAGAGGATGAAGTGACTGTTGTCAACAAAGCCGCTCGACTGCGTCTCGCTTCTAAAAAGCTGCACGGTTTGTTTTAAAGCAGCAGAGACGACGGAATGACGTGGGGAAACAAGAATTTATCTGGAAAATGAAAACAAAATAAAAAAATATATCTGATTTAAACACATACTTGCCTTTTTTTTTTTTTTACTTTGCAGCAAAGTCACCTGAGAGATAAACACCGACGCAGTCGCTACAACATTTATTTTATGATAATGTAACTCTTGCTACTCCTGCCTGTTTGAGTCATTTCTAACAGCAAAAATGCCAAACATCTTTTTTTTTTTTTTGCTGTGTTAAATACCTCACAGTGAGGATGTTGCTACCCTCCTCCCATTTTGCATATTTGTACACATCATTTTGTTTCCCATTATTTTCTGTACAAAGTCAGCTCAGGTAATCAAGCTGCACAACTTTAAACTGCAGAAAACCATTTTTTGTTTTTTGCATCAGCTGACTGCCAGTGAAATGTCAAAATACTGAAAAATGATGGCAGAGTAACCTAAAATAGAAAAAAGCATGTAATGTCTGCTGTGACAGAGTGAACTAGTTTCTAAACAGAGAACGATAAATCTGCTCTGCTTGTGAGACAGCAGCTCTGATTGAGCTGGATTTTACACTCGGTACACAGCAAACACAAATGATAAAATAAGTAGTGCCTTATAGATTTTGAAATTCCTATTGGACAAACAATAAATCTGCGCCGCACAAACTAATCTGCAATCTTTATTTTGCATCCGAAGAGTTTGCTTTGCATCTTGTACAGTCAAACATAGTCCTCGGCTATTAAATCTACAGTAAATAAACGCACCATCCAATACTGGCCGTGGCTCTTGTACCACTTGAAACCAAATCCATCATTTATGTCATTGGTTAAGAAAAACAAGACAGTTTAACTCTAGTGCCTCAAATCTTTAACAAATTCCTATATTTGAACCAAAAAGCAAGAGGAACACAGCGGAGATGGAAATGAATAAAAAGGCAAAAGCAATAGGGTGAAAGCAAAAAGTGAAGATGTAACGGTCCACATTCATCCTGCCTGGTGACATAACAGCACAAAAGCAATTTCACAACTTAATTTGTATGGGTCTATTTTAGCTTTGCCACATATTAATGATGATTGCTGATCAGCCCTTTTAGAGTGCTCCAACTTCATCACAAGCATTCCCAATCAATTCTCCCCAGCAGACACCAACAACACCAATTTAAGGAGCAGCAGCCTTTCTCATTAGTCTCCTTAGTTCCTGCACTTTCTGTTAAAGCAAGCACAGCAAGATCCACAAACAAAAAAAATAAAAGAAATAAAAATACACTGATCAGCTGTGTATGAGGTCTGAACTTTGTATTAATTTGTTGTTAGATGAACCAGTTATTATTGTGACAGTTACAGGCCAGTTTTACTCAACACTTTCCTAAGAATGTTTTGTTTTGTTCACAAGATGTGATCAATCATCGTCAAATCCAGGAAAATGAAAAAAACTAACTCTAACCAGCTGAGAATGAAGTGATAGATACAATGTTTGAATCAGGTTCAGTGAAAAGGTTATGAACAGTTAATATCTTACCTGTTGTGGATAGCTCTTTGAAGGACCTCGATTTAGAGAAAGATTAAATTTTACTGGATTGAAGGGCTAACAGTTAATCTGAGTGGTGCCAAGACCTGAATGAGATACTGCAGTCTGAAAACAACTCTAAATTAAAAGGCTTCATAGTCGTTCATGCCTGAACTTTACTTTACATATTCATAAACATACAATTATGCATGTACTTGCAAGTGGTAGCAGCAGTTAGCTGTAGCCCTTCCAGTGCAGCCTGGACCACTTTTAGATGGAATGTCATAGTATTTCTGTTGGAAGTGTAGTGTATTGCAAAAGTGGCATCACCATAAAAAAATCATATAATTATGTTGACACTAAGTATTAGGAATGCTTTTCACATTTAAGTCTTTAAATCTAATTCCTTTTTGTCCTTTGTTAAGATTAGTCATGAGCTCATTTGTCTTGTCAGAATTATTTTGTTTCTCTGAATGAAGTTGTTCGAAGAGCTATCTGCAACAGGTAAGATATTAATTGTGACAACATTGCTACAACAGATTAAAAAACCCTCATTCAGTTAGATAAGGTAACGCAAAACTCTTTTCTGTAATACTAGTTTGCTAAATCAGCAGCTCCAACTGAAATAAAGATTTTATTTAGCTGATAAATCTGTAATAAAGTACATCAGGGTCTACAAATAAACAAATTTAGAAACTTTTACTGTTAGCTGTGTTTCCTCGTAGGTGACGTAAACGTTAAGACGCTCCATAATAAAATTATGCGAAAAAGTTTGTCACCGTTTAAACAAATGCTCTAAAAGAAATCTAGGTTGTTGCAAAAGTTAGCTGCAAAGGTTTAATATATATTTAAAAAGTGTAAAGTTGCAAATGTAAAAAAAAAAAAAAATACAATTGAAAAACAACGTTATTTCACTTTATCTGATTTTGGCAATTTAAATAATGTTTTATTAAATAACTTGATGTTTAAACTTATACTCAAAAACTTAAAAACACTGAAGCATAAAACTGATCCACTCAAGACTTAAACAAGTGTTGGACCTACACACACGAGAAAAGATGGTATAGAATGAATATTAAATGCAATCTATAGCCTCTTTGTTCAGCAGCCCACTGAAAAGACATCATGTAATTCAATTTATTTACCTGCACCAACAACAACAAAAAAAGACATGTATAACAATATCTGACAAGCATAAATAGTACTTTTACAGATACAAGTTGGTTCATTTGTACTGAACCTGTACTATTCCATTAGTTCTGTTGTGCAAATGACAGAAAATATGGCACAAAACACACACAAAAGCAAAAAAAAAAACTTACCTCTTGAAGCCTCTGTGCTATGTGGGCTTCCTAATATTTCAGTCAAATCTTTCTGCCATGCATCTTTAACAGCCGACTTAAAAATCTTCCTATTGTTCAGGTCCTGCAGGGGCCTGAAATTGTTTCGCAGGTACTCGACAGACTTGACATGGTCCTGTTGCTCCGTAGTAAAGATGGAGTAAAAAGCATCCAGCTAGATAGAAAGAAACACAGAATAGCTATCAGGACACATTTAAGTGCTGCTGCTATATCTGTGTGTGTGCGTGTGAGCAAATGTGTTAAAGGTACTATATCATGCAGCACTGCATTTGTAGTCACTTGCCAGTAGCTGACTGTTCACAAGTGAAGAACAGTATTTGCAAGAAACATTTACACCACAGGCAGCAGAAGGCACAGACTTCAATCATCACCCTGACTACCTGCTGGGCTGTAACTTCTCAATGGGGCAAATTTGTGGCCATTGATTGCCAAGAATGATCTCCTGCCGCGTGCTGTAATGACTACACATTACAGATACTGTGGAATCAATGTGTCCTATGGGTGCTTGGAGAAATGAATTACAGGTTCATAAAAGACTATCTGTGAGCGTCACAAACATTGTCGAGGTGGTCAATAACCTTGCGGCAGAAGTCATTTTGGAAGAAAAGACTTGTCCTCGTGCAAGTTCATAGAAATTCCACTGAGCCCTGCACATTTTTGTGGTGCAGAATGCACAGGAGAATATGCAGCTGGCTAACGCAAAGACTGTATGTATAAAAGATGCAGCAAAGCAACTGTGGAGGGGGGGAGATCAGCAAAAAGCATGGGGCATGATTTGGCATATATTATCTCTCAAATAGCGATAACAGTTGGAGGTAAAACGTTGTAAAGCACGCAGGCGAGTGCTGTAAAATGCAACATTTTTCATAAAACATATGTTAAGCTGTTGCTTTAATAGCTCGAAATATTAAGCATTTGAATTGATGAGCATCTTTAGCTGTGTGATATCCAACCTCAGTGTGGTGCAGTATTATATCTTAGAGCCTATAGGCATTGTCTCCAAACAACCGCATGATATAGGTGCTATCTGATGCCTACTATCACTCAAATGCCAGTAATTGGCTCCCCCTTCCTGTTTAATCATGCACTACATAGGCAGTGATGGTTTCATATGCAAAGGATCTAGACGGAAGAGGACGAAAAAGGAAAAGAACAAGGGAAAATTGGTCACAGTCTTGGAATTCAAGTGTTCCACTGAGTGTGCACAAATGAGATCTGGAGAATATAACTGTCTAGGTGTGTGTGTGTGTGTGTGTGTGCGTGCATGCGTGCGTGTGTGTTAACTGAACAACGCACCTGTGAGTGGGACAGATATACAGGTCTGGAGAAGATGATCCACTCCACGACTTTGCTGCAGGGCGGAGTGGTCAAAGAGCCCGTGTATCTGTAATAACTGTCCACTGATGACGGCAGCAGATCCCTCAAGACGAATGACCTGAGATTGGTCTCCTTTTCTGGGTAAAGAATGGGATTAAAATTTGTTAGCGCATGGATTTGTACAGCATGGCCTTCTGTGCACCCACCCCATTTCACCTCGCTTGTGGCATTTTTACTGCTTTCCTGAAACCTCCTCTTGTGGAAGGGCAGTAGTTAAAAGCCTCACTACTTGTTATCACCCTGGCTACATCTCTGTACTCTGTGATGGGCTGAAAGAGGAGCAAAAGCAGGAGAGCCTGATAAGATGGCCAGCTCTGACAGCTGATCTGTGGTTGGGTGGTAGGGTGCTCTGCTCCATGTAACAACTGTGGCTAGGCTACAGGGATTAAGACAGATCCAAATGATTACCAGATCTCTTCTATCCTCTGATCAAAACCTGGCAATGCTTTGTAGAGGGAAAAAAATGGAACAAGCTGAAATCATCCAGAGGAAGATGCCTTTATCTCCAGTAAATATGGTGAGCGGGCCATGGAAGTTGTTTTGTTTGTTCCTTGAATTATGATGAGAAGAGTCTAAATAAAGCAAAGTTTACATTAAATCCAATCTCTAACAGCCCATGGCCTTATCTTAAAAGAAACAGAGGTCTAGGGTGTGGTTTGCATTCAGACCACAGAGGCACGGGAAGCCTCGCCCCTCTGCCTCATCTGTACTCTGAGTCAAATTCAGTATGCACAGCCTTTCTTCTCCCTGTCTTCAGACAGCGTACGTGCCCTATCGCTGCTGGGCCGCCGAGATGCTGATGGATGGATGACTGTGGGATAACGAGCTAGTGGAAAACCAACCATCCTAACAGGGGAGAAGGCAAGAAGCATTTAGCAGCTAGCAGGAAGAGAGTCCAAAAAGCACCACGTCCATGCCAAGCTTTCTTTCAGCTGGGAAATGGGATTTTGTGGTGCTAGAACAAACATCTGTGTATCTGTGCAGCACAGAGCTATGGCGGGGAGGCTGTGAAACAGGAGCCAGAGCAGGTTGTTGATCAGCTGTAGGGCTCACAGTTCAATCTGTGACCCCTTCATACAGTACAATATTCCTGGGCAAGATAGAAAACCTAAATATTCTACCAATGGAAATAAAGCTCTCGACAGGGCATATATGCTGCTATTGTTTCAGTTATGTGTGTACATGTGTGAATAAAAAATACTAAAATGTGGTGTCGATATACCAGAAAAGTGCTTCGTAAGTATGGACAATCCACTCCAATCCATAATTTGTTTTTATTCCTCTTCTTCTTTTGGCTTTTCCGTCTTCAGGGGTCACCACAGCGAGTCATCATCCCTCACTCTGTCCACTGCATCCTCCATCCTCACTCCAACTTTCTCCATGTCCTCTCTAACTGCATCCATATATCTCCTCTTTGTCTTTTTCCTGGCAGCTGCATTTCTAACATCCTTCTATCAATTTACCCACTGTCCCTCCTCTGGACATGTCCAAACCATCTCAGTCTGGCCTCTCTAACTTTATCTCCCAGTTGTTCAACCTGTGCTGTACCTCTGATGATCTCATTCCTAATCTTATCCATCCTTTTCTTTCCTAAGGAGAATCTAAACATCTTCATTTATGCCACTTCCAGTTCTTTCTCCAGTCTTTTTGTCAAAGCCACTGTCTCCAGACCACACAACATAGCTGGTCTCATTTGCCTTTATTAAAGTTAAAAATTAATAATTATATTATTATCACAATATAAATGGCGCTCAGCGAGTTAAAACTCACTCTGAATAGCATAAAATGCACAACATGTCATTGTAGATTTTTAGAACCAACATAGGGATATCCAGCTCGGGACATCCAGCTCTGGTTTTATAAAACCATCAGGAGTTCAGAAATAGGGCTGGGCCATATCATATCATTCACAATAATGCCGGTAAAATAAATCTTGCCCGGGAAAATAAATTATATCATGATAGGCTAATTTCATGACGTAACTACGTCATCCCACCAAGCAGCGGATTACGCTCACATGGGTCATGCAGTGATATTCAAATTGTGAAGGCACGAACAGACACATCTGAGCTGTACACTGTTTTAGAGCGGGGGGGGGGGGGGGACACACAGACACATCTGAGCTGAGCGCTATTTGTCCCGACAGTTTTTGAGTCGGTCAGAGTGAGGGTTCAGCATAAAGGAAGACGTTGCTTTTAGCTTTTTAGCTAGTGCGCTGCTAACTAGGAGCTACGTCAGTGAAGGCGGGTGGGGCGGGGCAGCGCACAATTCAGTTCAGTAGACTGTGAGCTCGGTTCTGATGATGCAACGGGGCACCCCACTTGTATAATGGTAGAGGAAACACTGAATGCATCGACCACCGATTTATGGTCAAGTTTGACCGCGGAGCCTTACCTGAGTCTGACAGTGCACTAACAGCGACTGGGAACTGTGCAGCTCAAACCTCGAGACCAGCTGCTTTCCTGAGGATCAGGAAATTGGCTGATGGCTGTTCTGATCAATCCTTTTAGGCATTTCATTTGTTTTCAGCATTTGTCACAAGTTTTGGAAGTTGTACCTCATTTAAAGGCCACATATTTGTTCTTGTATGTTACATTTATGCAGATCTTAAGCTTTCATTTTATTTAATTTATTTGGGAACTGCACCTGGACTTTAGTTTTTGTGGTGATTTTTTTTCATGTTCTATATTTTGTGCAGACATTTTAAATCCAAATAAGAGAAGGATCTTTTTTATATATATATATACTTAGAGACTGAATACTTTACTAAATAAAGTAATTGCATTAAAATTAACCCTTGCTGGTTTTATTTTAGTTTTATATAATACGGCAAAGCAACATGTTAATTTTGTCAAATGAATAACTGATTTCTGTTTTTGTTGTTGTTGTTATATCGCAAAATGTATCAATCTCATTAGAATGCTCTGAAAAATCACAATATTATATTTGAGCCATATTGCCACCCCTATTCAAAAATATTACATATTGGTTTAATTTGCCACCTAATATATCTTTGCCATTGTACATTTATGTAAAGGAAATGACTGTCAGCAGCAGATTTGAAAACAAGTATCCAGTGGCACCTGCAATATCAGCTTAAAAATAAGTATTAGGATTCAGGGCATAACTTGTGGCACAAAACATCAATAGTTGTGGATGAAGTTTTGCAGAAGCTACAGTCCATGAAATTGAGAGCTATCTAATTGAAGTTCAGCTGTAATAATTAGTTCTGTGTCTCGGAGAGAAACTCTGCGGAGGTCTCTTCCTGCAGAACTACACTACCAAGGGACGGGCAGTAACCCACAAATTTATTCTCTGTTTGAAGTTGCACTCTGCTCATATTTTTGTGTTTAGACTAATTTGGGAGAAATAAATATGGATCTCCATGTTTAAGCAGTACAATTTCAGAACATCAGCATTTGAGTATTGAGAGCATGAACTAAACTGATGGAGAAATGTACCTTCAGGGTCAGCCCTCATCCGCTACAAAGCAATGTCAAAGGGATTTAGCAAGGGTCAATTGTTTTTTTGTTTTTTTTTGGTAAAATCCCACACAAATTTAATTCCTACTGTAAAGCTTTGTGATAAGTAGATTTTGGGATGACGAGTAAAAAATATATAAATAAATAATGTCGGAAAAAAAAGCATCTAGTCTCTAAAAGCCCAATCCACCTGCACTTGATACATAAACACAAATGTTCTGCATGAAACAAAGTTTGTAAGGGAGCATTGTTTGATCACTTACCATGATGGACTACTCCTTTCAATCCCTGGATGATTGGGTCCACAGCTGGGTTGTCTTTTTGCCCAAGCTAGGGGACATGTCCAAAAACAAAATGATTAGAAAAGAGGATTAAGAGACTTGGATAATAATTTATATGAAAAAAGCAAACACACAAACAAACAATCATCAACAGATTAAAAGGAAATTTTATAAGAGCAACTTGTAAAATGTATTTTATTGGGTCACTTCTACTATCACTTTCATTTTCAAGGCCAACATCTGGACAAAAGGACTTTTTTTTTTCCTACTAAAAAGCTGAAAAGGATAGTTCAGATCTTTTAGAGCTGAATTTTGTGACAATTATTCTCCTTGTTGACAAAAGCTCTTTAAATGATCCCAGTTTGGAGAAATAAAGTTTAACTATGACCATATTGACAAGCCAACAATTAGTCCAACCAAAACCTCTCGAGTTTGAAAATTGTCAAAAAGGATGAAGAAAACGCTATTTTAGAAACATTTACATCAATCTGCTACAAGTATTTATAATAAAATTATATGCAAATTCAATCAACCTTTATTTAGACAGGTAAATACCATTGAGCCTCGAGGACTCATTTACAAAATAACTAAATAAACTGGAAAGTAATGTAAAGGTTAATCAAATAGCTTTTCTGTGAACTGCTATGACATTTCTGAGATTTGAGCTGTTTTAAAACGACAGAAATTTGTTAGGGATTTTCTGATTGTGAATATTATCATCATAAAAACTGTATAATAATTACTTATATGATCACCATTGATATGTTTTTTACTGCTATCCGCTACTTTTAACTGTATTGACACTGCTGTTGTTGCTGTCAATAATACTAGTATATTGTTTTAATACAAGTGCCATTGCATATTTTACAGACTGTTATTGCACATCAACACAGCATAAAATACAGGATTGCAATGTATTTTTTTCATTAAATAAAAATGGACTCATCAAATGTTTACAAGTTTTTTTTTAACACATTACTTTCTTCAATTTCTTTCTTTCCCTTCTATTTGCTGTTTTTGTTTGTGTTGTTTTGTGCTTCTAAGTAATATAAAAAATAAATAAGATGTCTGCAAAATATTATGGCCGTCGCCCTTCTCAGACTAGCCATTAGCTCATCAATCCAGTCAAAATGAAACTACTTCGATATACTGAGGTAATTAAAACACGAGATCTACAGCAGGGAAGATATTATGTGTCCTAACTTTTCCATAAAACACCAAAACAAAACAGCTGAACTTTTGCTTTACTTAGTCATGGGACACAAGACACTAGTTTTAACATCTCAGTCATGTGTGTAATTAACAACTACATGGTTATACAATCCACCTTTTTAGCTGATAGCAACAACAAACAGGTAATTTTAGACAAGGTATTAATTTTTGTAGGTTTTAAAAGCCTTTAATACACATTTTACGAGCCGGTGTAGCAATTAGTCTGCATTATTTGACAGTGACATTAATTAATATAATGATTCAATGTGTTGTTATAGAGTGGTCTGCTTCTGGTGCCAAACGCAATAAAATAAAAAAGTTAAAGTTTGTGTCAAGTTTTCTTGTGAAAAAAAACCCTGCTGGAAAACCTTGTGCAGTGTCATCTGCCGTTCGTGGGTTTTTCTTTTCTGGCTCCGGCTTCTGAACGTAGAGTTTGTAATGGGAGCAGACTGTAGTGGGTCTCCTCGCTGTGAGGAGTCATAGTTTTGCAAACAGCAGCAGTCATGCAGGCAGGCAGTCTGTCCAGACCATAAGTATTTGGACAGTTACACAGTCTTTGTACTCGAGACTGTAAGCTTCAGCAAATTAGGTCTAAAATAAATGCTAACAGCATTAAAGGGCAAAGTTTCAGATTTCTCTGAGTGGGTTCACAGCAATGTCAAATACATGTGAGATGAAACAGATACCATACAAAGTGCAAAAGTTATACTTGTATTATTGCATAAATATTATTTGTATCTTATTTAATGATTTTGTGCATAAAAGTCTTTGAAACTAATTTTTCAGAGTAAAAGCAGATCATATTCTCATTCTATTTTTGTTTGTTTTTTAGAAATGGATGCAAAAATGTACAAGTAAAGCCAGAGGATCAAGTGTTTATACGGGTGTGAGGCAGTGAGAGATGCCTTCCTGATGAAACAAAACCCACAACATGGAAATAATAATGGCTGAAACAGCTGAGAGCTTGTTCGAGAAACTTACCCTTTCAAAAATTAAATTGCTTCTAATTGAACCTGCACAGTTCATATGATAACTGCAGGCTAAAATTTAATATTCCACAGAATTTTCCACCAAAAAAAATAGTCAAATAGCCTCTGCAGTTGTTCTAAAATGACAAGCACTGCCCATGTGCAGCCTTGGACGGAGTATGTAGATTACTGCAAACGAGACAGTGTCACACTACCCAGCAATTATCCGAGTAGGATGCTGTAAACACCGACCACAAGTCATCAAATCACATTAACATATGTATAAGTGTTTTCCATACTGTTACTGTGGTTCACCCACAGCTTCTCAAAGCATCAAACCTTGTCTGTAGTCCCTTTCACACTCTCGCTACCTCCCTTAATCTGACAACATCTGAACGTGTCAGTGTCACGCGTGAATTATCCCACTGGCCCGAAACATTTTGAGATGGAAATCTGGCTCGATGGGACCTCGTAACACTATGTATCACTTTCAACACGGCAAGTCTGAACTGCCTCGAACACATTAACAGACTGGCACACAGAATCTGTGACTTCTGATCAGCTGTTCAGAAGAATCAAGAAAATACTTTTGGTGAATAAAGTCCTAGGATTCCTGGAAGGAATGATATCGCCCACTGCCTTTGATGATAAAACTTTAATTCAAGATGAACACCTCAGCCATTACTTGCAAGATGTGTTCATGCTTGGAGTATGTATTAACTTATGAATGACTATCAGCTAAAACCACATCACATTTACACATTTAGGGGCGGCTGTGGCTGGGTGGTTGGAGCGGTCGTCCTCCAATGCAAGAGCTGGCGGTTCGATTCCACCAGTAGTCACATGCTGAAGTGTCCCTGGGCAAGACAATGAACTACTCACTGCCTCCAATGTGTGTCCCATCGGTGTATGAATGTGATCTAAAGCACTGATTATTATTTGTAGAGATCTAGTAGAGTGCTGTATGAATGGGTAAATGAGGGCACAGATTGTAATGTAAAGAGCTTCGAGTATCTTGAGGAGACAGAAAGACGCTATACAAGTACAGTCCATTTACCATTTACCGGTACTTCAATATTTGAAACATTTACTGAGTTAAACCCATTTTTGTGTTGGCTAATGTTGATTAACTGTGGTAGTCCTCTTGAATTGGCACAAATCTAAAGTTGAACCAGTCGTATACGTTCAAATGATTATTATTTGAGTTTCATTAAAATATACCAAACAGATCATGAGATATTTTGCTAACAAACAAAAACAAACAAGGCGGAATCCTACAGTGAAAACAAAGATTTTAGGTAAAAATCTTGCAAGATGCGTAGAGCTCAGAATATTTGTTGGGAATTACTATTAGCTACCAGTAAGTTAAGTTTTAGCTCAATATCTGTATTAGCTGAGTTATAGCTCTTTTTGTGTTTGCTAAGGTTACTGAGCAGAGCGGCCATCTGGATTGGGACTGACTTCAAACATTAAGTTGAAAATGTCATAGAAAGAATATTTTTGAAGAGTTTTATTTCAGTTTGTCCACTGGTTTGTAAAAAAAGATTGCAAACAAATGAACACACACACGCCTACACAGGACAAAACATGATCTCTCTGCACAAGCCTTTGGTGCGGTGGTGGGGGTGGGGGTAATAACAAACAACAATGCAACTCAAATGTCTGAATGTTTAACCTAACATATTTAGATGCAGTTTAAATATATAAAAAAGTGATTCTTTCAGTTGTTTTCATCCGTCGCTGCTAGTTCCACAAATCCACTTTTTGCTTGGCACTAAAATAATTTTTTTATGGAGGCATGACATCATGTGTAAAATCTGACAGGATTACTGTAATATAAATCAGCGCATTTTACAAACCTTTCTAGCTTGCATGAATGATTAATATTGTGTACGCACTGTGGCTCTTTCTGTTGCTTTCACAGACATGCTTGAACGAAGCGTTAAAAACATTTACAACATAAACAGCAATAACGAGGTGATGGCTTTGACAAACTGATAAACCTACAATATGAAGGGTACATATTTCAAAATGGCACTTTCCTTTTCTGCTTTGCCTACAGTTAATTGTTGGCAATGATCAGGAATACCGTTCGGTCCAACATTTTCCTAATATTTCTAATGTCCTACTTAGGAGACAAGCATGGACCAAAGAGTGTTGGGATGTGGGGACCAATCCTCCCTTGAACGACATTAATTCAGGTCAGTCAGAGGAGAAAAATTGTGTGTAACTGAATGCTGAATGTGGATAATATACACACCTTAGAGGCCTTTAATAGGCCTTCGGGGAGCGCAGCACGAACTCTCCTCATTGATTAGAAATGGTAAATCTGAGCCAATGTGTGTGTGCCCGTTTAAAAACCTCCTCACACTGTAAACTGCTATTCAGCGCATTGTGTATGGTGGTGCTAATTGCAGTAAGCAATAGGGCTGTCAGGACCCAGCGGAGGCATTTAGGTCCTCACACACACATGGTTCATCACTGTCTGAGAGTAGACCTACATTACGAAACACCTGTGTCCCCATTCCAGCCTCCTGCTGCCAGCTATCTGACCCGTACCTATATACGATTAAGCTAAATCTTCACATGCATTGATCACCTGCCATTAAAGGTAAAGGTATTGTTGAGAGAAATCAGTGCAACGTAGAAAGAGACTGAAGTTTTCGGTGCAGCTGCTCACAGCTTATAAATCTCAGAGGGGCTTTTACACTTAAAAGAAATTAGGGCCAATCTTTCCTATTAGGAGCCTATGTGTATGTTCAGATCTTCAGGGGACAATTTGTGGTATCTACTGAAGTATACAATTCAATACAAAACCAAAGTAGAAACTGGGAACCGGTTGAGGAGATTATGCATTATGTGTTCCTACGGTAATTTTATAAGCCTGTACATAAAAACACGTCCCATCAGTGCTCTAAGCAACTACTTACAGAGTTGTTATAAAGACATTTCCTCAAGACCAACTACACTAAGAGGGCTGCATTGCAGGTATGAAGATGCACATTTATGCACATGGGTGTTTTAACATATCACAGTGTACTGCTGTGTGAACTGGAAGGCTAATGCCAGCATGCTACATGTAGCCGGTCACGTCATGTCATGCTCGCTGTCTTATTAGGAAGTTACCGTGCTGACATTTGCTAATTAGAACAAAGTTAGTACAGCTGATTGAAATGTCAGTAATGAACCAAGGAACTGAACAAAACTGAGCTTTCACCCAAAAATGGTATATATCAGAGATATCAAAGATATTCTAGTTCTTTCAAAGGAAAACACAAATGTGTGGAACAAATTTCACAAAATTACAATAAAGAGACTGTTCAGATCTAATAAAGTTGTCATGTTCTGTAAAGCAGTTATAAGTAGTTAGTACCCTACCTGTCATAGACAAAATTCTTAGCAAACAATTAATAGAAATAGGAGCAATTGTAGTACCACTTTATAATAAGGCTCCCCTTTTAGATGGCTAATAGTTTATTATTAATTCCTCTATAAATGCTTTAAAAATCATTAATACTTGTTTATTATTCATTAATTAAGGGTGACAGAGAGATAAAACTGACCAGTTTGTTGCCAAATAGTGAGCCAAACCTGTTCACCTATATATTTCATTTTGAGTTGTTATATTAAACCTTTCAGACTAAGTTACTACTTTGTGAGCACAATAAGCATTTGTAAACCTATTTTTTTAGCATATAATATTAGTTGTAGATACTTATAATGCAGTGATAAAGTACAATATTATATGCTAAAGGAATAGATTTACAAATGATTATTGTTCTTACAAGGTAGTAACTTAGTCTGAAATGTTTAATGTAACAACTCTAGATGAAATATATAGGTGAACAGATTTGGTTCACTATTTGACAAGAAACATATAAGCGTTGTCTCTCTGTCATCCTTAATTAATGAATAATAAACAATTATTAATGATTTATAAAGTATTTATAGAATAATTAATAAATCTATAAACTATTTAGTAGGCATCTATAAGGGGAGCCTTATTGTAAAGTGGTACTGTACTTTCTCACACAGGAGTCAGAACAGTGGTTAGTCAGACTGAGATTTTTTTTTTCTCCAACCTAAATACATCCATGTACCACACAAAATTATGTGTACTGAGGCTGCTTCTATCAGTCCACCTGATCAGCTCAGACTGAAGTGACTGATGACCACACGATTCAGAGGTCTGCGGTATATAAATCAACAATACATGGTGAAATCTAGATGATGACCAGGAATTTACTTTATTAGAGCCGCCTGGAAAAGCCCAAACGACATCTATGCTGTTGAAAAAGGGACGCCCAGCTAAGCTGATTACATTTCAGGGCCATGGTGAAAAGTCATGGTGTGAAATCACTGCATGTTTCACTCACGCAGTTCTTTTAGCTTAAATGGCTTTTAAAGAGACCAGAGACAGCATGGGTTTATTTTTTGTTTTATTTTAAAGAGACGAGCAGTGCTCCCCCTCCCCTGTGTGTTGCCCCAAGCTGTCATTCAGCTGTGTACAGTAGCTGAGGGGAGAATTCCCCTAAACCTTTTGGTTGGTTGTACATTCCATCTGATGGAAAACCCAGTCAGTTACTGCTTGTCTATCAGAAGAGCAACACACATCCCTCTTTTCAAGGTAACACTGTTTATTTTATTTTTTAAGTTTAGAAAAGTTACCAAATGTTATCATGTCAGCAAGTGAACCTCAGTATACATTGCCTAATGCAGGGTCACTAAGGAGGCTAACATCCCAGAGAATTATTTACTAACATCAGCGTGTCTGCTGATCTCTTGCCTTTAAGCTGCTGTATTCATAACCATCTGCTCACAACAGACCCATGTTCAGGCTGCTGTTTAATATACCACATTATTTTACATTATTATAGTTTAGCGTATATCTTAAATCCTTGTATGCTGTTTCTTTTTATACTTTATACTTTGTTATTTTTGGGTGTAACTGGGACCTTGGGTACACAAGTTAGTGCCACCTCATGTACCACATGTTATGTGAATGACAATAAAGAACCTTGAAGCTCTCCAGTCTATGTTACAAAAAGGAAAACCTCAAAGAAGAAGTATGGTAATATAGTTACAAACACTTTGGAAATATAAATAAACTATAAATAATTATCAATAATGCAGCCTGTTGATGCTGATGTTTTAACGGACACTATTCTTTAATTAATGATTTATTATGCTCAAGGTTATCATAGAGTCAAAATGTTATACCAGCCCATGCCTACAACAAAAAAAAAAAACTTAACAGTTTGTCTCATGGAAAGTGTGGAAATTTAAAACTGAGAAACATAGCATTTACTTGCAATAGAATGAAAATTTTAAGTTCAGGACTTCCATCTACTACAGGTAAGATACTAAGCACTGATGCCTACTTCATAGAACCCCACCTCAGAAAATTCATACTATCCCTTTAAGCAGTTTGGCCCAACAGACCAGTGGTGCAGTGTATTCTCAGATGTATTTAGATAAGCCTTGACCTTTAGTTCTGATACTTTACCTCAAAGAAGACAGCCATGGCAGAGATGATGCGTCTTTCCTTGATGGCAGCACTGAGGCTGTCAAAGTCATCGGAGTTGTAAAGGTAGATCTGCATCTGGGATGGGAAACAGAGCATAAAAACAGCTTGAGGAGTGGACAAGGAGAACCGAACAGTCCTGTCATCAATCACTCGGACGCACTGCTGAGAAGCTGATGAAAAGCCGTTTTGAGGGGCAGGAAAAAAAGGTGTATTTATCACTCCTATAAATCTCTCATAATCTGTGTCAGTCTTTCTTGTGTGCTGCCACTCCTGGAGGGTGCCTAAGAAATACAGCACCCTGTTCCTTAGAGCGACCGTCCTCACAGACGAGACTGTAAGAAGGAGAGGGGGGAAAACGAGAGGCGCGTTCTCATATTCTCCCCCGTAGAAAGATCTAACAGAATGGTACGCTTCTAATCATGGTTTCCAATTACCTTAAATCACCCACAACACTGCTTCTGATTTCACAACAAAGCTTAGGATGTTTGGATATAATTTAAAACACATCATACACAGAATATATCATATACCTGTCATGGATCTGGCTTAGAAGAAAAAAAAATTCAAAGCAGAAATACTTTGGTAGCACTGATCAGAATCAGCAAATGATTCTAAAAGTAGCAGAGCTGTCTATCATCTTGCAGTCAGGCCTCTGTAAATTGAAAAAAATAATAATTTAATGTCACTGAACTAAGTTAACAGGCAATAGAAAAAGTCACTGATTTAATTAAAGAGTCTTCCTTTTTTTCATTTTCAAAAGACAAATCACAAAGAACCAAAAGCCACAACAGGCTGCGCTGACAACAGATACTGAATAAATAGGTAAATAAGCATGTAATCAAGGATAAGTCCATTTGTGCAAACCACAGGGCCTAAACCAGGTTCAGAATGACTCAGTCCAAATAATTTAAGTTAATCAGCTTCTCTCAGAGTTCCTTATACTGCAGCCTTTAATGGAACTAATTTGTTGTCTGAGAACTCAGCAAGAAAGAGGCCTGGCCATTCATCACCCTTCAGATGTTATTAACTACATTACCCCCATTAAGCTGCCCCCCACCCCCACCCCCTAGGTTTCATTTACTCACCAAGATTAGCTCATGTGACCTGTTCTTGTTAACAGCACATATTGGAAAACGGGATTTTCAATTAAACCCTTTCCATAGAAGTCAATAAAGCAACCTGAATCACTTGATTACACATTTTCTTAATGTGTGTGTGCAGAGATATGACAAAGTCTCTTTGTGTGTGTGTTGGGGGGGGGGATAAACACATACGGATAAAGTTGTTGATTTAAAAAAGAACAGGCAGGTGGTCTGAGAAACCTTTAAGCTGCCTGCAAAGCAGAGGGAATTGCTGTCCACATCTTCAGAATTACTCTTTAATCTAAGTTTATTTTATACTAGTCTTTTTTTTTTTCCCTCTCTTCATTTTTAGCACAAAGTGAGAGTGAAAACAAAAGCCTAAATCCACTCTTCATTCCCGTGTTTCATTTAAACAAGAAAGATGAAAAACAAAGTCAGGTTTGGCATGATTTCCCAAGACGGCTAAATGTTGATCCAAGACTAGAAAAAAAACACACGTAATAAGTTTTTGCGAGCAGAGATGTTGGATCATATCACAGAAAAACAAATTTATCTCTCCTGTTTTTAAAAACATGTGCTAGCGCTGGTTAGTGCTGTACTAAAATATACAGTTATTGTGGTTTTCTTACTTGTTTTCTCTGTTTTACTTCATCAATATGTGCGTTTGTGAATATGCTGTAAATTTTGCATCTACATTTTTTCTTTGTGTGATTTTCTTATAGCGCAGTGCACTCGGCTCCTAGGCTCTACGCAGGTCAAGAGATCAATTTTGACTCATCCAACGCTCGTCTTGTGTTTCCTACTCAACTTTTAGTTATACAACAGCTTTAAGCGCCATCAGTCTTACTGCGTGCTCACAGTCGTGCTTATTCATACGGCCTCGGTGCTGCTTGTGCAAACGTAAAAAAAAAGTGTGATTTGTAATCCATGTATAATTAATCTAACTTTGGTGACACCCTAATGCGTTATAAGAAAAGATCTCCCTAAGGTACCAGGAGGCAGAGAAAAAAATCCACAGTTTCATTTTTCATCACGGCGTTTGAGTGAACAGGTGGTCCATCTATCGATTTCCACACTTCACTCCTATGGAAAAGGCCATGGTTAGATTAATGTCAAGCTCAGGGGCCACAGACCAAACAGTCCACCGGGTTCTTTTCTTCTTCTTTTTTTTTAGGGGATGTTAAACACAACCGTACAACAAAGCTCGATAATACAGCTCACGGAAACTAAATTTGTCTTTGCTCCCTGTTCATATGCCCCTAAATGTGTGCGCTTTCAAAAGCTTTTGGTCAGGTAGGTCCGCCTTTTATTCCCCCTACGGCAAAAGTAAATACTTTCTATGACTCAAAGCTGAATGTGACTCGTTCATACAGAGAAAATTAAACGGAAACCTGGAGAAAAAAAAAACTGTTTCAGTTTAATAGAAGCAAAAAATAAAATAGTCTGGGAGCTCAACCTCCTTGGTCATGCTGTTCAAGTCTTGAACGAACCCCACACTCGACAAAACAAAAGCTAACTTGTGCTGTGAAAGGTCACCCTGCACGCACAGCACAAACATTTATACAGACTTTTACAATGTTGCTGCACGCATCGTGTCAGATTGAATATAATCTCAAATACATCAAATTGTTCCAAGTCGTAAATATGAAAAATGAAAACGGCAAATTTTACAAGATGGAGCAGTCAAATGACTAAAGGTTAGATCTTACAGAACCATGTACCCCCCCTTAAGACATTCATCATCTGATTTCACTTCTACCTTCTGGTTTACAGCGTGGAATAATACATCATGCTTGATAAATGCAGTCTGACTTATTGAAAGAATTATTTTTGAAAAGCACGCCGCCCACTCCGTGTTGTTTCTCTGCTGAACCACAAATATATACATGGTGTCGTCTTATCGTTCTCCTTGAACGTAAAGTCAGGGTTGACTGGACTTTTGTTTTAGGGTGAAAGAAAAAAGATTCTTCCTTAAAGGAGAAGGTGAGTGAAGCTGCCAGGAGAGTTTTATTGAGGCTCGATCACAGTGCGTGTCACATGAGCCCCATCCAAGCTGCATGTTCCTCATGTTCACTAAATAAATCACCCTAGAGCAGTGGTTCTCAAACTAGGGTCACCGGACCCCCGGGGGGGTCCGTGAGCCCATGCTTGTGGGGTCCGCAAAATAAAAAAAATATATATATGTTTTTTTTTTAACAAGCACGTAGCTGTTAAACAACCTGTTAAAATACACCAAAATGCAGGAAATAACATCTACTTTATCCAAAATTTTATGGGGGAGGACCCTCAGAACCCCCCCCCCCACCACCACCACCACCACCACTACCACCACCACCTGCCTGCTATTTGTGTTCCAGCATTGATCAGTTTACATATTAATCCCTGTTATTACTTAGTGTGACTACGGCTGTTCAGTTTGATATAAAGTTTTCTGTAATAATTTGAAGAAGTGGCAACACATTTATTATGTTCATTATATGAATGGGTAAAGTTTTAAAGTGGATTTTGATACTGCTGATTTTCTCAAAACTGTCATTTTTGGAAGTTGAAAAAAAAAAGTTAATTAATTGCGGGGGGGGGGGGGGGGGGGGGGTCCCTGAAACTTTCTCCGCTCTAAGGGGTCCCTGATTCCAAAAAGTTCAAGAACCCCTGCTCTAGAAGAAGAGGGCAACTCAAGATTTTACTCACTGACCACATACAAAGTAAAATGTAAATTAAACATTCTTTTATTTATTAATTATTAAAACCACATTTTTAATTGAAGACAACACAAAAACAACGCACATACAAAAAAAAAACAAAGAAAAGAAAAGTTGTGGGCCGGCCTGTTTACCACCATGTTGCATCAGTTCTTTTGACAGAACTTTGTAAGATTTTGGGGACTGACTGATGTAGTTTTAAAAACAAAGTGGTTTTTTTTTTAACAGTTGCTTTAGATTGCAGCTCAACGGTTCACACCCTGCTTTGCTGTAGCCGCGGTTGAAAAGAAAATGCACTTCTTTTTGTTTTCCAAAGGGCGGTAGGCCTGGATGACAGACAGTCGGGAATCCTGACTTTTTCATTACAGAACCACACTGAGCAGTCTTCTTAAAAAAGATAGAACTTTTATGGGCATTATCTGAACAAATGTATGAAATATACTTAAAAAATATTCCTGCTTCAATTTACTGATGCCTTCACTGACATGATGGAAAAATCATAATGAAGGCTGGCGTTTGAACTGTGTGCTACTAACGAGCCAGCTGATCCCTCTCCTCTCACATTCTGTCAAAAAAAAAAAAACGTTTAATTTTATTTTATTCATCAACAGGACACTTTCCAACTTGACTCGAGTTCTTCTAAACTTTTGAAACTCCAGACCACTTTGGGACGCTTTTTATTTTCACATTAAAAATAGTTGCAAATGACTTTTTCCCCCCATTTTAATTTCAAACAATACACACATTCCCCACTAGTCTTGGATTATATCACTGGCATTTGATTTAATGTGTTGCTTTTATGTTAATTTCAATGATCTGTAATGGTTCCTTTTTTTATTTGTTTTTAATTTTACACAGCGTCCAAGATTTTTTGGAATAAAGTTGGAGCCTTGTGCATGTAAATGAGAGACATTCATTATTGTCTAAAAAAATAATAATTAAAAAAACATTCAGCTGTGTTCATTTTAGGCTGCCAGCACCATTGCTGATAAATTTGCATTCCCTGAATCAGCACACAGATTTGCTGCCGTTGAGAATGATTAGGCTTCTTCCTCTTTCTGCACAATTTAAAAATGGAACAAATTAGGGAAAAATACATCTTTTTTTATGTATTTTGTAGCATACCTTAGAGTAAAGACAGAATTAATTAGAATAATTAATGATTTAAATATGTTTTATATTATAAGGAAATCCCATTAGTATTTATTATTTCAGTCTAAATAAACTACAGATAATAACTTGTATAAAATGCAACACCAGAACACAACACGGAAGTCACGTCAGCACTGACAAAGCTTGTAACAGAAGAACATTAGCTCACATAAACAACAGCCTACATACATACTTATTGTTTAAAAACAAAGCTCGGGGTTTAGGGTCCTGATTTTT